AAATGAAGACTGCCTGTAAGTGATCCTATTTCACTGTTAATCAACTCGGAGTGTTGATTTTACCAAAAAAAAAATCTAGCGACTCCTGGTAGCCAACTCAAAAGCAGTTGCAACTGTATTGCAGCTATGACAATATCATTTTTTTTATTTTTACCTTTGGTGCAAACTAGAATTACTGCTTTTCAGTTGTAAACCTCCAACCTGCCATTTACATCCATGTAAGTCCAAAATGTAATTACTTCATAATTTTATCCTTTCAGACAATTGTGTGAAATTGTCATGAATAGCATATTAATTCTTAAGTTATGGCCAAAAATGTGTTTTGAGGCAACGGTGACCTTTGACCACCAATGTCTAATCGGTTCATCCTTGAGTCAGTCGTCTTTAGTGCCGGATTTGAAGAAATTCCCTCGAGGCGTTCCGGACTGATGGACACATTCAGAAAAAACCTAATGGCCACGTCTGATGTAAATTTAGCAAAATAAAGGCATGTACAGGGTAGTTGTGATGGACTTCCTCACTCATGAAAGTTGAGTATGAAAGTTCTTAATTTAATTTTTAGAAAATACTGATATCGAAGGAAATAAATTGCTGTCAGTTCGCAAAACAGTCACAAATGTGTTGGTATGCTTAAGGAAATGTTTGGCAATAGAGCAAAAAGTGCACATAGTTTGCAGTTAAAACAAAAACAACCAGTATCGTGTACAATTTTTGGTTTTGAAAAACCTATTTAATTAAAAGGTTTGCTATATTCTGAAGATTATCTCACGGTGAGACCCTGAGATGCTGTCACCACGTTCACATTTAGTAATTCTACACGGTGCTTTATAATGTAAATCAGTTAGTCTAAAATGTTTGTGCGCTCGAGGCTTGGAGCATCGTCCTGTATGTGGGGGGAGTGAGGTGGAGTCTCTGCTGCTCCCTGAAGACTACTGAAGAAACTGCAGCTGTCTGTGTCATTTAGAGAAGCAGCATTCATCTGTAAAACCAGACCCCTGTCCTCCTCTTTTGTGTCATCTTCATCCTTCATTTCACCCCCACCTGCTCCCTCCTCCTCTCTCTCTGATCTTTGCTGATCTGGTCTTGAAGGAGTAGAAGGTGTGTGATAGGCCTGCTCTGCCAGCTGAAGGAAGGACGGAGAGGTGAAGGGAGAGAGACTGAAGGGGGCCTTAGGAGAAGGAGAAGAAGACGGGGACTGGTACGGTGAAAGGGAAGGTGAAGCGATGGGTGAGTCGTATGGAGAGAGGGAAATGGCAGCCTTGGGGGAGAGACGGGAAGAAGCCCATGGAGAGTCAAAAGGAGAGAGGGACGGAGATTCTTTGGGGAAAATGGGAGGAGCCTTGGGAGAACCATATGGGAAGAAGTAAGGAGGGAGTGAGGACGAACTGGAGAAACTGATCTTTGGAGAGGGCTGCATGTAGTCTGATTCGTGTGGAAGATTCTCCGTTACTGCTGATAGCTGAGCTGTAGCCTCTTCACCGGTGACTCCAGCTTCACTTTGGCCCCGTTCCTGCATCTCAGGCTGAAAGTGAGGAGTTGCTGATGGAAGCTGAACTTGGGCCTCACTGGAGGTGTTCTGCATCTGTGTCAGAGGCAGGGGCCAGGTGAAATCAATCTGAGCGACTTCACTTGGGCTCTCACCTTGTAACAGACCTTGACTGGGTTTGGCGGTTCCTTGTCCCCGTTTCCGGGCATTCGATTTTCCTTTGGTTTTGGGCATTAGCGGCGGTGGAGGTGGAGGAGCGAGTGGGGGCGACAGCAGGCTCGAAGACTCTGTGGAAATCCGAACCTTGCGGCTGCGGCTGAACATGCGGCGTCTGGACAAAGGATTATGGGAATGCAGGAAAAGGGGGTTGACGAAACAGAGAGCGCCCTGGCCGTAGCCACAGTCCAGCTCTCGGGGGCTGCGTGTCGTGATTGGACAGAACTCGTGGAACAGGGTGGGATTCGAACCTGCTTGTTTTTTGTCCGTGTCAGAAGTAGTTACCGTCCTGAGCTGGTTGTCTGAGTCGGGCTGGAGAGCGGAATCCGGCTGAGCTGCAGAGCTCGTCTGTGGGGCAGCAGCGGGCGGGACTGAGGTTACTGTGTCTGGCTTCTTCTTCTTGTCTTTCTGAGGCTTAGGTGCCTCCCGAGGCCCACGGACGTTTAGGTGGGAATTCCAGAATTCTGTAAAATATGATGTTTTCATTATAGTGAAACTTTAGTCTTTCTTACTCATTCGTCCTTCATTTAACAAAAGTATGTATATGTCATATGGTTATTACCCAGCAGCTGGGAGGTAATAATAATGAATGTAGTATGCGTGCAAACAAGGAGTTGTGTTCACCAACCTATTCCCATATGTGAGATGGACTCCAGCTCTTTGTGGGATGTCGCCTTTGCAATGGCTTCAGGAAGCTCCAAAGGGAAGCGTAATACATCTCTGATACACAGAAAATATACAATATTAACACCAGCATTTGCTCTTGCAGATCAATAAATATTGACAGTGACAAATGTAGAAAAAGGGGGAAAAACTGCTGTGAACATATTGTATAGGAAGCGAAGGTAACGAAAAGAAAAGACACAAATGGTGAACAGCTGAGGACAATGATAATAAGGAAGGCAAGATGGTACCTGCTGACACAGTAGAAGGAAACTAGTCTTGGGACATCTGGAAAACTGATGGCTGAAGTCTCCAGACACAGAGCTGGGGGTGAGGAAAATTCAAAGATGCAGAGATTTTGGGAGGGGGAGATGTAGTCGTGTGTTAAAACTATGTAACACTGGAGCAAAGCTGAGTATAGATGATACCCGTAGTTTTGCCATTATACGAAGCGTGCATACGTTTTTTATTTGATTTCCTGCATTCCGGGAAGTTGCAGGGAAACCAGGAATAGCTTACTTCATGATGTATCTGTTACTTCATAAAATGGTTGGCAATACTGTAAAAGCAGACATGAGTAGTAGTCAATGAACTGAAATAAGCACAGTCGAAAATGTAAATGCTCTGTTTTCAGTTTTGTGGAAATCTGTTCGCATTAATATCTTTGTATTGCTTTGGTGACCAAATCAAAGTAGTCTCTTATTTCATGCAATTCAATTTAAGTATATGACACTAGTGCAATTGGACACAATCTTGATGATGTGAGCACACGGGCATGACTACATATTTGTTTACCAAAGAAGGCAGATTCAGTCTTGATGGGTCAGACACAGAAATATCCTTTTTTTTTAAAGTTGTCACATACTCTTACTGGATTGTTCCTCCCTGATGCCAAATTGCTGAACAAAGGATGGCACGCTGTCATCCGCCAAGCGGACACACAGCACATTTTTCCGGGATGTGCGAGACCTGCGCACCAGGAAGGTCTGCGGGAGGAGACAAGTGATTACTGAGTGCATGTGTGAGTGTGTAGGACATGGACAGAGAAGGCAAGAGAGGTATGGCCTAAATGTATGTGGACATATGTTGTGCTCCTGATTTTATTTAGATAAAGTGCATGCGGCTCTTACCCCAGGAGGCTCCCTCTGCAGTATGTGCAGTGCGGTGGCAGGGTTGATGGACAGCTGGAGCCAGACTGGAACTGTGAGCAGGAGACGGTCCAGCACGCTGATGCTTCTCAGAGAGCCCTGTCCCCTCTGATGCCCCAACAGCTTCCGCTCTGATGACTGGGTGGGCTCCGGGAAATCATACAGCGGTTCTTCTTGTGCCATCTACACACACAACAAAAAGTATTATTATTAGCTGTCCTGCCACTGACCATGCACTCCCATAGTGTGTGCAGGCTACAGGTGGTTATTATCTCTCCTTGTGGCTCACATTAACAACAGGAAGATGGGAAGGATGCCTTCACACACCCACACACACACACACACACACACGACTGCGTAATAAATCCGCCTGGATTGGGACAGCAAGTCGAGACTTGGTAAAGTGCAGCAGCTCAGACAGAGTTTAAATGAAATAGGAAGAGAAACACACATTTAAAAATACAGACACAGAAGCACGACACACACACGCGCAGAGACGGCGATGTAAAATCAATAGCAATGATATTGTTGGTTATGGCTATTTTTCTGAACATATAGGTCTGTCGCCCTATTAAATCTCACCGCAGCCTACATGCCAACATCTGTCTGGATCCGCAGCGCGCATTCCTGTAAAACTCACATTTCCTCTTCAAACTACGAGTCTTCCTGCCGTAGGCTTCACTTACACCACTTGTGTGTAGCTACTGTGGGATTCCAACTTTGACATTACCAGGCTCGTTGTTTACCTCGTTGTCCCGATACTTCTTTTGATCCCCTCCGGATCCACTTTATGTTGACGCGCTGCTATGTTTTCCATCAAATTCACGAGGATGAAAACTTTGCTTCTCTTCCACTTTGGCCTGTCATGGCGTGTGGTCTTAGATCCGGAGACGTCTCTATTCTTTGGCTCCTCCTCCTCTGCCTCACCTGGAAACAGACACGTGATACTGTACACCTATGCCACGGGCCACAGAAAGACGCGCCTTTCCGAAGCAGAAATATTTGAAGCGTAGAAAAGTTAAACCCGTTATAACTATGTTCATAGTGTTATAGTGGTGGAAGACGTACTCAAACATCTACTAAAATAAAAAATAAAAAAGCAATGTAGCAGTGTCATACAAGTTATGTATTCATGACATTATTCAAAGATTATGATCAAAATGTACTTATATAACAGACTTATGCATTGTTGCCTATTCCAGAAAAGTGTATATTGGATTATTAAGTAAAGGATCGGAGTAGTAACTGTTACTTATTCCCCACTACCCGCCATTGATATGAAACTATTAAATCAATGATATTTAAGTGTGGTAATGTTGCCCTCTGAAGCACTGTAGAAATATCAGCAGACACATTCCTCCACAATGAACTCCATTGACGTTAACACAACACGTTAGATCATGTGTTGTGTTATTTATGCGTCAGAGTAGGTGATTTTAGACTCTCGACATGGCCATACAACTGAAAAAGAGGAAGAATGCCCCAGTCAGGAATACGAAGCAGCCATCTGGTGCAAATCTGATGTAACTGCGACCCTGTTGCTTCCAGTCAGCGAACGTCAAGAAACCGGAAACGGATGTGACGTCTGAAATACAGCTCCAGGACCGCGTTGGGTAAGTAGTCCGTGAAACGTTACTATGCTAGCATGATTATGTTGCTTTCCGTCCATTTTAAACTAAATTGGATGCACAACACGATTAATGGTGGTTAATATGCGCTATGATAGTTTACACACCAGTGATGGAGCTGTAGCTTAAGCACATGCTTTCAAACACTGTGATGAAACCACTGCGCTAGCTAGCTAGCTTAGCTAACGTTAGCTACATCGTTAATGTTTGCGTTTAACAAAATGGCCAGTAGTGTCGTAGTTGTTTAGCTAACTGATGGTCGTATAACTGGTCGTGCATCTTACCATAAACCGGTTGTATGTTACCGATTATGCGTCATTTGTCTGGCATTAGCAAGGTCAGCTAACTTTGCAGCTACACAGGCTTCATTTGATCCGTTTTCGCCTCGAAAGTCAACAGCTTTATTAGCTCAGTTAAGCTAATAATAACCGGCTAGCTAACGTCAATACGCTTCTTAGCAGATGGCAATGCAACTAGTTAATGACTTTAGTTATAAACCCACTTAGCAGTATGATTTAGGATGAATATCATTAACTATGATTAGCCACGCGGGAAAACGCCATTTTATTTGTTGAGATTCACCAAAGTTAGTCACGTTACCAACGGAGACATTTAAACCAGAGCACCATGTTTTCTCTCCTCCAGATGCCTGTGTGATACAGAGATGAGCGGTGAGAACGTGAAGTTGTTTGTCGGGAACCTTCCTTTAGATGCAACTCACGACGAGTTGACGAAGCTCTTTTCTCCATATGGAGAGATCAACACCTGCTCTTTGCTCAGACAGTACGCCTTCGTTACCCTGAAGGGAGAGGGGGCAGCAGACAGGTAACTGTTCATCACCACTATTAGATAGTAACTGTTCATCACCACTATTAGATAGTAACTGTTCATCACCACTATTAGATAGTAACTGTTCATCACCACTATTGGATAGTAACTGTTCATCACCACTATTGGATAGTAACTGTTCATCACCACTATTGGATAGTAACTGTTCATCACCACTATTGGATGGGATCAATTAATTGATATTATAGAAATATGCTTTCTTGGGGATAAAATCAAACGTGGATATGAAAGTTTATACTCCAACAAATTTAAACACAAGGTAATTGCTCATCAGGTATCTTAGCGAGGTACATTATGAGTCCAGTATGCTATATTCCGTTTGCTATATTCCGCTAATAAGTACATTCAGTGAATTTTGAACACATTAAATAGAAATATAGTTATTGCTTGCACTGCCAGTGTGTTTTTAAATAAAAAAGAAAATGTATGTGTTAATGTTGATCTGTATTAATGGTAAAATATACCATTAATTGGCTGGTTTTAGTTTATTTTATTAATTTTTAACCTCAGCTAAAATATTTGCAGTACAACTGATGATGATGATGCAAAGATATTTCTCATTCCTACTCTTACAGGGCCATACGACATCTTGATGGTAAAGAGTACAGAGGCCGGCCTTTGGTGGTCGAGGAGTCCCGTGCACGCCCACCCAACTCCACTAAAGTGTTTGTGGGGAACCTCGCCGCGACATGTTCAGCAGATGACCTGCACGGTTTGTTCTCAACCTTTGGAAGAGTTTTAGACTGCGACAAAGTCAAAGGTGAGTTAAAGTCCCGTCAACAATACTTATTGTGAGGAAACATTTTGTAGAAGTGCTGATCTGTAATGTAACAACAATCTTCAGATTATCTTGTGTCATCTAGAAAGTTTTAACAGTTACATTTTTTAATAAATAGTGCTAAACAAAAAGTGACAATAACAATATGGGATTGATGTGTTTTATTTTGAATCGGTGTCTCATGTTAACGCTGAGCTTCCTGTGTACTCTACAGCCAGATTATGCTCAAATGTCGGCTATGCGTTTGTGCATATGGAGAGGAAGGAGGAGGCCCTGGTGGCTATTGACGCACTCAACGGGACCATGTACAAGGGCCGTCAGTTGGCCGTAGAGCTGTCCAAAGCCCAACCTTTGATCAACCAGATTGCAATGGCTGGAAATTCAAACCACGGTGGTGTAACAGGTAAAGATGAAGTTATCCATTTGTGTTTAACTGCATCATATTAGATTCTGAAAACAACTCCTGTTCTCATCATGTGTTGTTCTCCCTTTGCCTTGTAGGTGGCAGGGAGGGTCTTCTTCCGCGACCACCTCCATCACTAGAGCACCATCAGAGTCAAGCAGCCGTGCTAGCAGCAGCTGCAGCAGCAGCGGCTGGACTACCCATACAAGTCAGTTAATTCTCTAGCAGGGCATCCACTATCCGGGAAAACATCTAACTTATGATCTCTGAAACCCGAGCCCATGAGTTTATGAACGGTCACAAGCATTTGTGACTGGACTCGTTTGAACCTGACCCTTACACTTTCCTTACCCGTAGTGTTTTATAGAGAAGTTAGGTTTGAGTATATTTTTTTTAATGCGTGCATCTCTCATCTGTCTTTTGTAGGTTCAACAAAGTGTCCATAACTCATTCTACAACACCACCTCCTTTGACCCCACCTACGCTGCTTTGAAGGGCATTACGAGTGCTAAAGGTGCAGATGGGGTGATATACGGTGCTCTAGCCAGCCAGGTATATGGGACTGTTGCTGACCAGGTGTATCAAGATATGGCTAATCACAATACTGCAGCTGTTGCCACTGTTGAAGAAGTAGATTCACAAAGCGGACCAGATCCGACAACGCTTTTCGAGGCAGCGAGAGCCAAGTTCTTTCAGGAGGGACAGAAGGTAGTAAAACTGTATAATGTTCTCCTCTGTTTATTTTGTGTTGTACGTTTATTTTCTGACATATTTTTTTGAATTAAAGGTTCTGGCAGAGCAGCAGGCAGGGAGAAAGGCAGTGTCTGCCGACAGTGAGCGAGACCGCAGTCCAATCAGAGGAAACCGGGCCCCCCTCCTCCCTGACCCGGTTCCAGGTTCCTTCGGTCAGGTACGACCGAAGCGCCGCGCCCTGCTGCCGACGCCACCTGGAGGACCCGAAGACGCCCCAGCTGCCACCAACACACCTGAAGGGTCAGATCCTGTTGCTAGGTACACGCAATACATTTTGATAAAAGATGGAGGCAGAAGGAAAAATAAGCACGTTAAGCCTGCTTCCACTTGCACATACTGTATAATAATAGTTTATTTACATCACTCGTGGTGCAACGGATCATAAAACTCACATTTGAGATTGTAACACGGATAGGCTCACAGATCGGGTTTGCACAAAAGCAAAAATCCGGATCAGTGGTCCGTTACACCACTACATAGCACTGATCAATAAATCATTACATTATTGTAGAATGCTTTATTAATATCAAACAAAAAAATACACATCCCTGTGTTCATTATGTCATGTCAGATGTGGTTTTTCGGCTAACATTTCTTTCTTTCCTTTCTTCTCTTAACCTCTTCTGTTGTAAACTGCAGGTCTTACACAGAGTACTACCAGCAAATGCATCAATACCAACAGTATCAACAGTACCAGCAGCAGTACCAGTACCTCCAGTATGCCTACACCAATCCTCCTCCTCCTCCCCCGCCTCCACCAGCCACCACACAGGCACAGGCCTCCACCACAGCGCCCCCGGGGACATACTCGGCGCCCCCGACGTATGCAGCACCGGGAGCCTACGCGCCGCCAGGAACGTACGATGCGGCAGGAAGTTACAACGCCTCATCCGGGAGCTACAATGCTACATCTGGGAACTACGACGCCTCGTCAGGAAGCTATGACGCGTCTGGAGGCTATGGGGCACCCGGAGCATATGATTCATCGGGAGCTTACGCAGCAGCGGGAAGCTACTCCGCATCCACACCGTATGAGCAGACACCCGCACACGGGCAACCCATGCCCCAGCGCCATGATTACCCTTACCACACGCCAGAACCCCCTTATCGATAGTCCCACCCCCACACACTCCTTCCACACTGCAAATGTGTGCGTGTGCATGTGTATTTACATAAGGGACAGTGTAAACCAGTGAGGGAGCAAGGTTGTAATTCGAATGTAATTCAAGTCTGACGCATTTCCCCCTTTTTTCTCCATCCTAACCTAGTTTCTAACTAGCTTGCCCGTCGGTTGATGCCTGTGTGGCGTAGTGGGACAGTTCATTTTGTGATGGTGTCATGCGTTCACAGTTTGTGTTCGACAATGTGAGGCACAGCTGGTTGGATGTTCAAAGAGGCTTAAATGTTTCTTGGGACAAAGTTGTACTCCGAGGCCAGGGTAGGATATCGTAGGAGAAGCTTTTTGTTTGTACTGAATCGAGGCCTTTTATATACTCTACATAAACGTGCAGGAACATAAGCAGTCCAAATCACACATTTCAAATGTAATACGCTGATAAATTACTAAATAGCTATAAAAACATACTCCAATTATTTAAACAAAAAGAATATTATCCATCGGCCTTTCTGGCCTCTCTACAAGATGCATCAGGCTTGCCGTATTCTTTTAAAACTCATTTTTCAGAGGTCCACGTGTCCTTATAACAATTTTATAATATAAATCCAAACGCACGCACTAGTGTTGGCGTAGGAACATCCTGTGTGGAGTATGTAACAGGCCTCTGTTTGAATTCAGCTGCATTGACCTTTTTCATAACAGCCAGCCTGTTCATCCGGACATTGAACCGCCCGATTGGTTAATACGTCGACTAAGAGAGACGGCAGAAGAAGTGAAACGGAGCGTTGCTTCAGCCAGGTTTTTGTTGCCTTTACTGTAGAACCGTCTGTTTGTGAAGATGGAGAATGTTTGTTAATTGACCGGCTTTGTGTTGTGTTTCAGGCTGGCTTCACTGAAGGACTCTCACTCGGAGTGATTATGTATCATTTTTGTCCTCCATTTTGGGTCATGTAAATCTTTGATATGGCAAAGTGTTAGACGGATAATCGCAAATTCGTTAGACGGTCACTTAGGTTCTGTTGCAACCCAATTAACTCTGGGTGATTTGGAGATTGCATTGTGCCAGCTGGCATTAAAGTTTTCCTGAGGCGAACTGTTTTCAAGGTGTGAAGAATTATTACAGAGTAAATTTGTAGTCAAACAGAATATTACCAGTCTGATTATGCATACGTTAAGTTTCATAGTCTCGTGTGTTAGCCGGGTGTGAACGTGACTCAGATAAAAGGATACAGGAATATTTTCAGCGATTCAATTAAAGTATGAGTCCGGGCTCTCTTTATTTTCTCGAGGTATACACAAACTCAGGAGTTAAATGTATCCTGTCACGTCGGTGTTTACCTCTAAAACATTAGAACAGAATCATTAAGTCATCTGTAGTCGTTCAAATTTCTTTTTTTCTATTTCATATTGTGTTGAATTGCGAATCAGGCCATTTGTGAAGCAACCCTGAAGCCCGATGGTTATGCGGTCGTACTTGCACTGAATGGTATTGAACCGGCGTGGCATGTGAGCATATATGAGATCAACGTGCTGTGAAATCAAAACATGGCATTCGATCTTGAAGTGCAGTTCCCAAAAGAATGGGAGCTATCTGTGATTCACCATTTGAGCTGAGAGCAGGTGCAAGTGTGTTTTTGTTTTTTCTACATGCAGTGGCGTGTTGCTGATGTGAATAGCGTAGGGTTATTGACTGAGTGGACACGAGGTGACAGTGCTGCAGGTGAATATGAGGGTGGTTTTGGATTTAGTAAAGGCCGATGACCTTTCCTTTTCCCTCTTCTGATCTCTCCAGAGTCACACGCCTCTTGACAAACCTCTGCATTCACACCACGCCATCTCCACACTTTATATCTAGATGTATTTTAACTGGGTTCATTGCATTTTGCTCATGTAAAGCAGGCCACACGTGCAAATGATACTAATGCACACCCAATTCCATCAGTATTGTTTGACTGACAGTAGAAGTTCCGTTCCGTGATTGTACCACACCCTAGATCCTCATCTTATGTCTAATTCGCCACCTGAGTTGGTAGTGCTGTGGTAGGTTTTCAGTGACACATAGCCTCTCTAAATTTCCACATTATTCCACCTTCTCCATTTGAACTGTTAGTTGCATGCCTTGTTGTTGCTGCTGCTCCAGCCACCTTCTTCCTCTTGCTGATTATTGCAGCTAGAGTGGGAGGGAGCCAAACTGAGCCCTTGCCCTGGACGTACGGCACACGCAGCTGTAGCGTGGGATGGGGAAAACAGCAGCGTTAGGCCTGAAACTGCTGTGGACGATGGGGTGTCCCCCCACTAAGGTAAACACTCAGACCACACACTCCTGCCCCTCCCTGAAAACACCCATACACACTCTCAAACACAATCGCACACACACACGCACCTATATCCATTTATTCCTCCCCTGTCTTCGGGGAGTTTTATTTGCCAGGATTTCAGATTTTTGGAAATTAATCTCGCATCCTTTTTTTGAGGAGAGATCAACTTTTTCCTGTTTTTGATTTTCCTGGTCGTATCCCTGCAATCAACCCCCCCCCCCCCCCCCCCAAACATACTCTGCTCATACATTCCTGCTCCCAACATACTGACCGCTCACACACACCAGATGCAGACACGTATATCGTCTTTTAGTCCAAATCTGAAGCAGGCACGTTGTCAGTTACCCGTACCTAACAGCCTGTCATTCAAGAGTACCAGGCAATCACAGCCACAGCTGGACGTGGGACATGTAGGTAGGATGGGTTGTGTTAGTTTTTGTAAATGTGCCCTTGGGGCCACTTTTGGGATAAAGTGCCTTGCGTAAGAGCACATCGGTAGGCCCTTCATTTCAGAGTTGAATAACCTGGCTCAGGATCGGTTGCTGATTCAACGCTCGACTCCCCTTCTCCCCCCAAACAGCGATTTTTGATGCCACATTCAACTTGTATGAATGACGATGAACACGAATATCATTTTGTTTTAAATTACATTTTGTCCTATGTTCTTTGAAATGTTTAATTATCAATAAATGAATTTGAATTGAACTGTGGCTTCTGTGTGTGAATATTTAAAGACGCTTATGAATCAGCTACGGTGTTATTACTTTTAAAGTTTGTTATTATTAGTCACCATTAGCTATTGTATTATAACGGTATCCAATCTTCTTGGGGTCCCTGAGTGTTTGTGGAGGATTCACCAAATAACTTTAAAAGCTCAGCATCAGATGACGTTTTATTCCATTTTCTTAAAACATCAACCTATGCTTTTAAAATAAAAAAAACAATTTGATAACAATCCAAACCTGTTTATTACAAAAAAATAAAATGAGAAGACATTGAATGTATGGAACCTCATTCCCTGCTTACAAGACATTTCATGGACACTGCTGAGATTCATGCCCTCAACAACAATGAACAGTTTACAGATGGACACTAGAGCACGGGGTGAGTGGAGTGAATGCAGTATACACAATGCTGAGGGTATACTGAGGTAATGTGAGGAGGCCTATGCACCTAAATGGACGAAGGATCGAGCGTGAAACCGCAAAGACGTCGTGCGCCTTTTCACTGGCAAAACGCGGGAATGCAGTTTCTACTCGAACACGCAAGTCTGGTTTCCAGCCGCCAGATTAGTCTGTGAAGCAGCTTCAGTGGTGAATACAACGGTCTTTATTCTGTAGACAGACGGCTGATAATGGTGTTGGGAGTGTTCCACTGTGGATAAAACTAGAAGCTAACCTCCGATGTCCTTTTTGTAAAGTTAGAGTGCAGGTAGAAGTATTGTGTGCGTTGATAGTTTACGTAGATACTGGGGCTGCTTCAGTCCTTTTCATCAGACTTCAATGTAAGAGAGAAATACTTCCCTGGACAGACTCAACTGATGAAGCGGGTTTTCTCAAAGTCTGAGAAACTAGTCTGAGAATGTTTTTAGGAAATCCAACCCCAGATTTAGAAACTACAACTTTTAGTTTTGCTTTATAGCTTTTATGCTGTGGCTCTTACTATTATTGACTTTAGTAGGTTAAAATTAAGGATAATTAAACTGAGGTACAACAAATAAAGTGTACAGAGACATGGCTGACAGAAATGGGGAAACCAAATTTTTTTTTTACCCCTCTGCAGTGAGGTTAAAATAAAGATGCCATAGATCTCTAAACTCCCGTCCAAGTCTGTACACTTTCTGGGCCTGGTAATGCCGAAATTGTCTCAAAAATAAAGTTGAAGCTTCCGGTGAATCCAAGCCTGGTTTCAGGAAACCAGCCTGTGCTTTGAGAGGATGACTGGGAAAGAATAAGTCCAGTTGATGACAACAGACGGGGACAAGACTGGGCAAACACGTTAAAAACACCACACAATGTTGACCAGACCAAACACATAGTACAGTACTTTGACTTTCAATCACAACCTCCCGTGATGCTGCTGGCATAGTATGAAAAAGGAGCGAGCATTCGAACACGTATTGAAAATAGCAACGTTTTAATAAAGAGCGATTTTACAAGACTGCAATGTCTAGCTAGCTAGGTGATAACTGGCATTGACATCCATGGTGTTTTACAAAGGTGCAGTTACTGGGTAACTGGGTTTGAAGTTTGATGGGTTGCTTGCAAGTTGCATTTCTGCATGCGAGGCAGCCTTCAAACAGTTACGGGACCCTACATTGTAAAACAGTTGATTATGAATGTCAATGAACGTTCATGTCAAGAGGTAAGTAAAAAAATCTCATGGAGAAATTTCCTTAACATTTTCCAAACACACCGGTAAGTGAGAGTTCACACAATGGTCATGCTTTTACCGGGCACACGAGCCAATAAAAAGACGACACTTAATCATGCAAAAGAAGACAAGTTCTTTGTCTCTAAAAAATAAAAGAACACAAAAAATCTTTTGAGTTCTGATATCATCCATCCGTAGTGGCCTTGAATAAGAAGAAGCTGCGCTTTGATGATGACTTTGGTGCAAAAAAATGTTCCTGTTTCGAAGAGGACAGACCCTGTCCTGTCCACTTCCTCGATGAAGACACTCTTGGTATAGACCAGTTGTGATAGTTTACCCATGACCTCCCATCTCCCCTCGACCCCGCCCACTTCCTCCTCGAGATGGACACAAACATCACAAACATCAAACCCACCCTCCCGCACATCCCTGGATGATGACACCTTCAAAATACAACCATTCAAACACAGATACAGCAATAAATTGTCCCACGTACAGTACGTCATCCAATGGGGCTTCGATCACTTTTACAGAGAGAGCACGTCTAAAAACACACGAACGGCATTTCCTATATACAGAGGACACAGTAACAGTCAGAGGTTGGCCCAGGATGGACAGAGCTGCGTCGTGGGAGTGAAGTGCACAGTGAAAAGAGCATTCAGCTGACTTGAGAAAGACAAACCACTGGGATGAGGAGTAACGGTAGAGAGTGAAACGACAATTTTCTTTGTCAGCTGGCCTCTTGTTGAGAAACCTCAGAGAATATCTGCCTGCTTGGTGACGATTTCTAACTGAAGTCTCTCTCTGCTGGTCGTAGAGTCGTAGCTGCAGGGTGATTGGTCTTTTGCGTAGCCAACAGTTACAGTTCAAGGTTGAATCCGAACCATACGCCACCATACAGTTGCAATTCTCTGACGGTTTTTGTTAGGTATCACAAGCGTGTGCAAGCTCCGGCTCTCCGATTCACTTTTGAGATTCCAGGGCCGATGATTTCGGGGCCTTTTTTTTTGACGAGTGATCCTTGGAACCACCTTAATTTGATGTGGGGTTGTACAGACTGAGACACGGCCACAATAACACTCACTGCTAAGTTGTGCACACTACCAGCTCACTAGAGACCTTTCGTCTCTAACCGAGGAGCTCGACCCTGTTTGTCTCTATGGGAAGGCATGTGCACACAAACACACACATACAGCACATGTACATAGAACAGACACAATCAATAGAAAACGACTTCATCCCCAATCGATTATTGCCCCTTTCAACTGTACATCCCAGCAATGATTTTAGGTTTTTGTGCAGCAGAGCGTGGTCCCCTCTTCGAAGGTTTGTGCTATATATATATAAATGTATGTCGTCTGTCTGTGGGTCTAACTTGACCTTGGGTCTGCCAGAAAAGCCACATTAACATTTAACGTCTCATTAAAGCCTCCCATGTCTGGCTGTCTGAATTAATCTGTGTGTCGTCACTGCATTACTCGGGTCGTGATCAACGGACATTGCCCTCGGTCGCTTTACGGTGGTCTGGTCCTCGTTTGACTCCTCCGACTGACCTTTAGCTGTCCTGTCCATAAACGTTAACATTACATTAGCAAAGCCCTCTCTGTGGTTGCAGTGTCTTTGATTACTGGAGGTGAGACGTCCGCTGCAGTAATTCCCCTTATCCAGTTTTTCTGGAGTGTGAAGGACATCGCGGGAGACTCATTCTGAACAGGACGAATGCAGGACAGGGAGGAAATCATACAGTTGGGAGTTGAGAAACACCGCCGTCCTAACATCCAGTCAACTCTCTGTCTGGCTCTCAGTGCATTTGTCACTACTTTTAGAGCAGTACGTGTAAAACAGAACAGGTTAGTAAAACGGCATTCTGTACAGAAACCTGATGTGGACACACAACAACACAACAGCAGGAAACAGCTTTCTAAACAGCCTACAGATGTGGTGGGACAGACGGTAACGAGATTGCATGATATTGCGCAGCTGTGGAGGGGGGGGGGGGGGGTAAATGAACAAAATACACAGTGTGTACAGCCCGACCCCAAGTAGCAAAGTTAGTGTAAGAGGTTTGTTTACATCCAAATGCGATGCCTGGATCTGGCTCAGTGCTTTCATCAGTTAGTTCCAGTGCAGTAACACGTTGGTACCTGGCAACACAGCAATGACATCAGGTACCAAAAGAGAAACACATACAGTACACACCCTCGACAGCCACGTCCATCCACACACTCACAAGCGCACCCACAGAGTATCGCTCCACGTGGGATTTTGGATGTGAAGTTGGCAATTAAGAACAAATGGAGCTCATAAAAAGACTCAAAACGGTAATGTCGATGCAGCACATTGAAATGTAGAAAAAGGAAAACACGCACACACACACACACACACACACACACACACACACATTCAAATCGATTACTTCTGACATCAGGTGATGAATGACACACAACGGGGAACCAATCTGAACAAGACGCTAAAATCACCTACACAGACATACACCCTTGGCAAAGTTCACAATGAGTAAAGTGCCAGCAAACAATCCAATCAGAGAAAGAGGCGCGTGTCCTCCGAGTTTGAAGTGGGTATGTTTTTATACAGGAAATCATCAGGATGAGGAGGTCGGGAAGTGGCAGTAGAGCCTCTGCACTTCCACAGAGCTGTCATCGCAGGTCATAATCGCCGTCTGAATTGGCAAATCAAACAGAGGATGAGTGGGATTGATGCGGAGCCTCTGGTACCCCATTAACAGACAGAGAGATCAGTAGCCACATGGAGAGAGGAGAGGAGATTAGATGTTGAGGCTACATGGAAACTGATACAGCATTTCATCTTTTATCCGTCCTCTGGTCCTCTCTCCTTCTTCCTCTCCCCTCCCCCTTTTCTTCTCCGTCTTCCTCTTTCTTCCTCCAGCACTGGATTTGGTTCTGGATTCGTTTTCTTCAGCTCTTTCTCTTTCCATCTCTTTCCTCTCGCCTTCTCTCTCTTGGCTTTGCTGCCATGGTTACAACATCATCCCTACATGAAGTGCATCTGCAGAGGACGGGAGGAGAATGGAGAGTAATTTAGTTTGACAAAACACCTCATCAAGTGTTCAGGCAACAACTGACAAGCACATTTACCTGCCGCAGTGCCAGGAAAACATCTGTACATGGGCGCGAGTGCTCAGTGGGCAATTATTTTCCTCAGTTGTGTTTTGAATAATTGGTCAAAATATACTTGTTTGTTCTCCTGAGAGACGTACCAACTGATGGTTACTCGCTGTGCAAAACACTATCTTCACACTTTCTGTTCAATTATCTGACAACGTGATTCCTGTTGCTGCTCGGGAGTGTCCTCTCCTTGACTTTACTTATTAGTCGTTAAAACTAGCTATGAACGCGTGCCTCAATTATGCCAGAAGACTTGCAGACAGGAAGCACATACAGATAAAGGAAACATCCAATCTTGGTTGTTGTTATGCTGCTGTAAGTATATATCAGTTTAGGATGTCCTACTCTCACTGGGTCTACCCAGAGGTTTGCGCCTTGCCTGCTTCTGCTGAAGTTAGTTATGTCCTACACTTTCCAGAAAAGTGTTCAATATCCCCGAGATAACTGGCGACAGTTAAGGTACACACTCCAAAGCATGTTCAGTCAAGCTTAAGTTTGGATTGTTTCGCCTCACACCTTCTTTATTTTCTCCTAAACACGTCTACATATATTGAGAGATAAACTGATTTCCTGAGAGATAGCTTAATAGCTGATATATATATATATGTATGTGTGTGTGTGTGTGTGTGTGGTGTGTGTGTGTGTGTGTGTATTACCTGTGTCCCCGGCATGGGTCCAAAGGGGTTGGTGGGTCTCAGGACAGGCTGGTTGTACATGACAGTCTGCGGGGCCATCATGGGAACGCCCCCCATCTGATGACTCATCTGAGGAGGGAGCTGCTCAGAGGACAGGTGGGAGAAGGAATGGCAATAGATGGGGAGTGGACAGGAGATCACAAAATGTTTCAGATTTAGAGTAGATTCATGCCAGCTGAGTATGAATGTATGACTGAGGTTAAAGCTGTTCTTTACCATTCCATACATAGGCACTTGGGGTGTCGTCATAGGAAAAGCCACTGGTGCGGGAGCCTGTATGGGAAAAGGAGAGGATCACAATACATCGACTTTCTGGCTGAGGTACAGTCTTAATCTTGACCTGAAAGTCGATTACAAAGAGGTGGAAAATTTTACAACGCAGACTAGAGGTAGAAGATTGGCAGCCACAAGGGATGAAACACAATGCCAAGGCAGCACAATAAGCGAGCACAATTTCCTCTGATAATTCATGTATCATCCGCAACACAAAGAGCCTAATCATAAAAGTGTCACAAGCATTAAAAAAAAAAATAAGCAGAGAGGTTTTTGGAGGATGTCAGGATTAAATCCAGTGCATAAAGAGGAGGGAAGGGAAGGTGAAGTGAATAAATGCACTTACGTAGCCAGTATAGATCATCCCATTCTGTGGAGAGATACAGAGAAAGAGAGTTACAACAATAAAAGCATTGCTCGGGCCTTTTCTCTAAATGAGCAGAGAAGATAAACCAGACCTTTGCCCATTCCTCATGCTCAAAACTCTTCTACTTTAAATTCCTGCCGTGCCACCGGCTTTCCGAGCCATTGGCTGAATAAATGAGCGGTTTGAGTCGAGAGGTCAATCAGACGAAAAATTAAAAGATGAAACCAGATTGAATGGAAGAGACTTGCGGATAATTAGAGTGGAGCACAAAGGACAGACACACATTTGGGAGCTCCTTTAAAAAGCCCTGAGTGCAGCGGAAAGTTACATTTGGCCAACAGGTACATTTAATGAGTTTCATTTCAGAATGAGATATATGACCGTTAGGAGGAACTGACTTCTCTGACAGAATGATGGATGGCACCAAATTGATACACAATACCAAACTTCTTAAAAAAACTTTTGCTAGAGCAGTGCAGTAGTGCTTCCCTGACAAAAAAAGGCCACATTTACAGACTTGACCCTATGTAATATAGAGACTTTATTGTGAGTTTGATTTAATTTTTAATTTTCAATAGTTATTTTGTAACTCCCAGAGGTACGACTGCAAAAATACATGTTGCAGTCCTACATTTCTTTTTATAATCAACACTTGTAATGATGAAGGCACTTGCAAATGATAATATTTTGGTGTTTAATTTTTACCTCTTTATGTAAGATTTCATGAAACTTTTTTTTTCTTTTTACAAAATGTACCAAAACACTGAAGCGAGGAAGATCTTGGGTAGATTATAATGAGAATACATATGAAACTAAATTTAAATCATACCCTCTAAACTAAAAAGACATCTGTCTCTGATGTTTGTAGGAGACAGAAAATGAATTTGCAACTATTGTGATAATCAATCAACCGTTTAGGTAAGCTGCCAAATATTCTCTGACTTTAGCTTTTCTCTATTTTACCTCATCGTGAACTGAATAACTTTTATTCTTTAATTTATTCTTTCACAGCTTTTAAGTGGAGCACACCCAATGATAATAGTGTAAATTGTCCTGCTCATACAGGAGAATGAGTGAGTTGTGAATTAATCCGTGATGGCACACGGACATTTTTTTTAAATTGAGAACTGTGCAAATGTAGCTTTTAATTTACCATCTGAGGGACTTGCATGGGTGCAGGTGCCATGGGATGGGTGGTGTGAGTCCAGTTGGTGCTGGTGCACATGGTCTTTGACTGCCAGCCGCCTCCTGTTGGCTTCTTCTCCACCAGTTGACTCCACTGGAGCTCCGGCCTGATGGGCACACACACACACACACACACACACACACACACACACACACACACACAAACACACAGCATTTTTAGGTGCACAGCTTATGCAGAATCCGAAAGAAAATGAATGAATCATAAAAGCGTTTGTGATAAAGTTGGATAGACAGCTGAATCATTTGCTTGTGGCGAAGTCTTAGTTGTCAGGAAAACCCACTCACTTCTTAGCTTGCATCCCCCCAAACTGCAGATCTGAGAGAAAGAAAAAAAAGAAACATATCAGCTGAAAGGAAGCAACAGAGCCGGAGAAGAATAACAGATAAAAATGAATATATAATATAATAACTGAATATTTTCGAGAGATTCTGCACACTCACTACCAACGAGGTTGGCTAATGAAGAGTCCAAATCATTGGGCAGCATTTTCCCAGAGTGCAACTGGACTCCAGGGCTGTGAATATGAGCGGGTTGGGCTGGCTTTAGCAGGTCGCCTGACATGCAAAGGTCACCGTGGTAACATGAAAGGAGAACAGAGGGGAAGTGAGTCAAGAGCATGAAGCGACTGGACGTATCTGTCACAGCATATCCAGCTCTGAGTAGCGTGTGTTTATTTGCATGCTTCCTTGTATGTTTGCATGATTATATATGTGTGTGTGTGTGTGTGTGTGTGTGAGTCCTACCTCCCCAGGCATTGTTGTTGTTGGGCACAGTGTGTGTGGTCTGGATCGGGGTGTAGTTAGGCTGCAGGGTGAACAGCTCACTGGTCAGGTTTGGCACACTGCAGGAAGGAAAATTTGAAAGAGAGCACAGTTTTGTTTTTATGTAACAGACCGTTAATAAAAAATCTGATCTATAATGACAACCAGGCGAAAGGCTTATTGTTGAAGAGCTGGAGTCTTTCTGCAACATACAGATGACTTTCCCTTTGAAGCAGTTTGACACTGCAGATGTTAGACTCACTGGTTGCTGACTGGTACGATTGATGAATTGCAGAAGAGTTCTGTGGCCCCTCCGCTGCTGTTGGCACTGCCCACTGACTGGGTGCTGGGTGACACATTGGGTGTCTGAATATCGATCCCCTTATGACTGTCCTCCTGCAATGGGAAGCATCATCAGTATAATATGATAATCCCGTGGTTTGCAAATATCCCTGCAGTACACACGAATCGTGTTAACCTCCTCTGGAAAAATGTCTCTTCCTGGGTGCTTCTTTGTTTGAGTGAGACATCCACTGCAGAGGGTCTTGAGATTGTGACTTCATTGTCATTCTCTGTGCAGCTCTACGCTACGGGCCAGCAGCCAAACACAGACAGTGTAATTCACTGTACTGCAGGACTAATGCACCTGTCCATTCGACTTCAACAACAGTGTGGAGGACAAAAAGACTCGATGTACACTTCACACAATCTGAAATGGTTTCAGTGTGCTTTTCTCACATAAAAGCAAAAACTGTTCATTGTGAAAAAGTATGTGAACTCACAATGATCACAGTGTGGTTTCATTGGGTACAATATTGTTGGTATGTAGCTGTCTAAGTCTAAGTCTCTATGTATATGTATGAGTCTTGAAAATGTCTCACCTTGTGTTGCTGCAGTCTGTTGTCTTCTGTCTTGTCGTCCATGCGGCTGAGAGAGATCCCAGTGCTGGAGAGAGAGGACACTGCACTGGACAAGGTGTTGGATCTAAAGTCGATACACAAACACATATTTTTTTTGAATGCTGGTTGCTACATTGCTTTGTTTTGTTTGTCTTTGCTCTTTTTACTGAGTTCCACTCTATAATGCTTTGTGAACTGAACGTTATGTTAATAAGGCTATAGAATCCTGCAGCTCTGTGAGGCTGTTATGCTCATTGTTAAGAAAACCAAACGGTTAGAGGTACGAAAGTATTGACTAAACTTACATCATGACTAGATGATGGATGATACACGAGATGAAAGGTATGACGGAGGTCACTGGGATTCAGAGGGAACAGTACATAAATACACAACAATGGAAAAAATGAAGGTTTGCATCATTATGCGTCATGTTTGGTGTTATGGTCGGCTACCTCTGGTCGGTAGCAAGAGGTTGCATCAACTAAATCAAATAAAGCAGTGATTCAATGCAGCTATTTTAAACCTATTTGAGCCCCAGAGCGCCTAGCGGTCGGCAGAGTTGCTGCCAAATTTTTGGATTAAATTATTAAATGTATTTTTTGTTATTTTACAAAGCTATTTGCATATTTGAATGTGCTCAAATATCCACATAAATAAAACACATAGTGATTCAAACAAAGCATGATTTCAAAGACCAGTGACGTTTGAATATCACCACGACAATCACGAGACATCTGTTTTCACTGTTAGCGAGCTAATGTTACCTCAGTGACACAAAATGGATCCATTTTTTAAAACGAAAAAAGTGATGTGAGAGAGAGAACCTTGTGCCAGTAAAAGCTCCAAAGAAGTATGACCCTGAAGACATTACATTTGGATTCATAATGGGAGGCAGTGATGGGTGAGCAGAATATTCATGATCATTGCAGCTGATATATATTTACAGCCCAGTTTATTTTTTCTCCTTTCTTTGAAAAGGTGATCCTCGAAAAAATAATTGAGCAATCACAAGTGAGCCTTACAAAAGGTTGAGAGCCCTTTTTTAATGAACCAGGCGAGTGCGCTAAGTGACGCAAATCAAACACACCCAAGTTTCTGCGTGAATGCTGGGTGTGGCTAACTAAGCCCTGAATGCTGAAATGCCCACGGTGGTCCTCCAGCTGGGATTTTGCGTTGCTCGCAAAACTTCTAACTTCTCATGTAGCCTAAAGAGGCTGAGTGGACACATACTGAGGCTATTTTTGCTTTGAAGCGACTGGACGTATCTGTCACAGCATATCCAGCTCTGAGTAGCGTGTGTTTATTTGCATGCTTCCTTGTATGTTTGCATGATATGTGTGTGTGCGTGTGTGTGTGTGTGTGTGTGTGTGTGTGTGAGAGGCCTTGCCTTTTTTGTTCTATTAAATTATTCCTCTTGCACCCTCCTTGGTGTCCATAGCCTTTTGATGTATTGTCGGTGAAGTTTGTTTCATTGTATGGCTCTTTTCTAAGTAATTCTTAGGCGGTTGTATTTTTTACAATTGATTATCAGTTGAATGCACAGGCTGCATAAAAATAACTGTTGGTTATGAGCTCTTGTGTGAGTCTATATGTTGACATTTCATACAATTTATTTTGTAGCCTAAATGGGTTATTGAATTGAACAGTAGTATATCATGTCATCACATTTTTAAGGCAGCTATGGTTTACTCTCAGCACCTATTGATCTTAGTGTTAAGTACTTTACTTTAGTACTGTATAATTCAATTTTGAGTAAAATTTAGTACAGACGTTCATGTTCCCTTCTGTCACGGTCTTGGGTTTTGTTTAGTTGGTTTCCTGTTAATTTCCCTGCCTCTTGTGTCCCGTGTTCACTTCACTTCCTGCCTTTGTATGTTTTTCCGCCTGTGTGATTGTCTGCCTTGCCCCTGATTGAATCCTCCTGTGTCTAATCAGCTGCACCTCCCCAGTGTATTTAAACCCTGTGTGTCTCATTGTCAGTTCGTCTTTCATGCTACCTGCTCTGCGACCCTGTATGTATCCCTTTTTCCTAATTTACGTGCTCCTGTTTAGTGTTTTGGCTGTTCAGTTTTTTCTGAACATTTTTGTTATTTTTAAAATCACCGTTGATCATCCCTCTGTTCCCCCCTGTCTCTCTGAGTTTGGGTCCATCACCTGATACCATTTTTGCCTTAAACCCTGACCCGTTCAGGATCAATTGAAACACTTAAGTGAGTTTCCATCTAGCACCATGAACAAGTCTGATGAAATCCCTGCAGAACTAATAAACACACGACACTAAAATGGTAAACTTTACCTGCAAAACATCAACCTGTTAGTAATTTCACTGTGAGCATGTAAACATGCTGACTCAGCATTTAGCTCAAAGCACCACTGTGTCTAAATAGACCAACACAGAACTCCTAACATGGCTGAAGACACCTAGGCTGTGGTCGAAAAGTCAAAACATGACCTAACGTCTATTCCTAGCCACTTTTCCTTGACCTCTACGGAAAATGTCATGGGGTCAAGGAAAGATGTGAAGGATAATTTATGAGGAGTTAAGAAAAGACACCGTGGTGTTCAGAGAATCCGACTCCACTTTCACTGAGCTACGTAATTATGATGCAACGGCGGACGTCACTGACGTACGTAGGTCTGCCATGGCGAAACTACAACAAAGGACTCCAAAAAAGCTCTACTAAACCACAACCCCGTGATATGTAATACCCCATTGCATGCAGGCTTTACAAAGAGCTTGTTCTGTGAGAGGCTGCTTCACTCGTGGTGTGAAGGAGAGAACCGGAGCTCCTTCCTTCCTGCGGCTGTCACACTTAACGATCAACGCTGCTTCAGTAGAAACTGACAATTCGCTCATGTTCAATATCAATGAAACTGTTCAATATCAATATTTCCTTTGTGCAATAATTTAGATTCAACGGTTTGGCTATATTTAGTTTTTTAACAATTTAATAATCTATCATAGGCCTAGCTTTTGTATTTTACTGATGCTTCTTGTTATTGAGAATTTGTTCATTGATGGTTTGCTATATTTATTGTTCATTTTATTTCGTATTCTTTTAAAAAAAAAAACGTATTTGTTACATGTTCGAAGTAAATAAATACATATGATATGAAACGTAAGGATTGTCACTGTCTATTCATATTCATCAACATGAATTCCATTACTTTATGAGTATAATTGTTATACCTTTTGTAAGATAAGCATATTGTTTGTTATCATGGAAGGCCGAATGGTGCGTCACTTTAAATGTTGCCGCTGCAAGGCATTGTGGGGAGGAATTATCTACTCTCCTTTCGTAAAGGAAGGTCCAGTGTCTCCTATGCTAAAGGGGCTAATAAAGGAATTATTGAAGCACCTTTCCTTGGCATTTAAGGAATTCGAACATGTCTTATCATGGTGGCCACTTAGATACTTCCGGGTCATTTCCCTCAGTTTCCTAACTGAGGGAAATGACCCGGAAATATGTAAGCGGTCCTTTTTGCTTAGGAAGGTTCCTTCCTAAGCAAAAAGGACCACAGCCCAAGTCTTGATCATTGTTTGTTTTGTAATAAAAGTAGTACCAGTAGTTTTACAGAAGTAGCCCCCTGATGGCAGTAGTACTTGCTGTAGTACCAAGATTGCTGTAGGAATAGCAGTAGTATTAGGTGGCTGTTGCAGCAGATCTGAGTAACTTGTTTGTGGTCTGATCGTACCTGCTTGCTGCGGAGAGGTCCTTGAGCTTCCTGCCCTCCAGAGAGGCTAGATGCTGCTCCAGAGCCTCCAGGAGAGAGCTGGGAGCCTGAAGGGGGGTGTAAATGGGAGGGGAGTTGATGGAGTACCATTAGAACCACAGCCAAGTGGACAGAATGGGACAAACCGCTTTCTCTCACTCCCATCTCCTCACCTCCTCATTTTATCCCACTCACCCACATACGCGCACAAAGCGGCAGCAAAAAGTAAGACATTACCCTCAGATTCATTATCTACTCTACAACAGCTGTTTGCTCTGTTTTTTTTAGGGTTTTTTTTGCATTTGGTTTCATCAGGTTTGGTTCACCGGCATGCAAACATCAGCCTTGGATCATGCAAGCGAGTCCACAGCGGGACTGACGGGTCAGGACAGAGCAGCGGAGCGTTGTATCTGCAGGGCTCCAGAGTAGAAACACAACAAACAAACACGTCTCTGAACCGTCTAACGAGCCCATGCAGAGGCCAGCAGTGCACAAACGCTATCGTAAACACACGCACTTACACACGCACACGGGTAAAGAAAATCACAGTCCAAAAATTGAGAGTTAACCGGTGGATTCCACGTTAGGTGGTTAAAAGTCAAATTAACTTATTATTCATTTATTTAGTTTGGAAATTAGGCAGCACAAATTGTATCCCACTGGAAGCCAAGGAAGTTAACTCAGTGAAATGTAAACATCTGGTGAAAAACCAGGTATACACATCGAGCAGCTGGCCAGCACTCTTCATAGTAAAACAAAAAGGATGGATGGGTTCATTTGAACCACTATGTGATACCATGTTTTTCATCCAGAGTCTTACATTTCAGCACCGGAGATCACAACGAAAACACAACAAGCAAAGAAAAGATTTCTCATATACTTATTTTAAGGGGGAAAGAGAGTAAAATGCGAATTCTGGATATCCTTCTTCAGAGAAATCTAGAATATGCTGAAGGTTTAAAAGTAAAACAGACACATATCTAGAGCTCAGTAAAGGCATGGGTCACTATGCTGTTGAATAAGGGCATATAAGGTCTTCTTAAGCACTACAGACATGGCATTAATTTAAAAAAGTCTTCCCTTGTCAGTGTGTTACCTGATTTCTCACATTGTAAACATCCAATTGTGGTTCCATTGAAAAGGATACTTTACATTTGCGGCCTTCACCATGATATGCAGTGCTTATGATGGCATTATGTACACCTATCCAAGTCATATTTGCAGAGACCTATTTAATAAAAACCATTCGCTGCTCTCCCCACAGCTAATGCAAAGGGACATGATCTTTTCAGGGAAATGATTTGAACACTGCTTATGTGGGCAAAAAACCTATTTCATAAAGCTGTGCTGACTTACTTATATGATAAGCCTTTGAATGAAGAGACAAGCCTTGATATTTACACTGGGAAAATGCCAGAAATATGGCTGTGGAAATAATAAGCCCCGGTCATGGATGTCTAAAATAGAAATGGCTAAAAACTTTTGATATTCAGCTGCATACAGCTGCTTTCAAGAAATCGTACCGAAGAGTAAAATTTGTTTTGCAATGATTTCGATAATGAAAAAAATGAAATTCCTCCGCTAATGCTTAGAAATTGTGAAAGATATATGTGATTCAAGGCTATATGCGGGTCTTCATTTATTGTTTCCTCTCTATTCAAGAGAAAAGGAAAAAAGGCGAAGAAGTTAAGGAGAGTGAAGAAGAGAGGAGGACATGGCAGCTGCAGTGTGGGCAGGTCTGTAGGGTGAGTAGGGAACGGGAGCGTTTAGAATGAAGCATTGACTTGACGGATTTAAATACTGGTTGACTGATTGGTTGATTGACTGATTGAGATGAGATGTAGACTGACCTGTGTGAGATCGGGGCTGTCGCCCTGATCTATCCCAACTCGCTGTGTCACAAAAAAGGAGGGAGGGGGTAAGGGAGGGAGGAGGGAGGCAAAATAAACCAAATGTAATAATAAAACAAGAAATAAACCAAAAAAATCCAACAGAGTTAAAAAGAAGAAAAAAAAGGGGAAGAGGCGTGTGAAGGAGGAAGAGGAGGAGGAGGAGGGAGAAAGAAGAATCAAACTCAAGCATTCATTACGTCATGCAGTGGCTGGAAAGGAAAACAAATAAAAGACAACAGAGGAGGAGGGAGCATGCACACGCATACAAACACCTATATATACACAGTTTATGTACACACACTTATACACACACACACACACTGAGATCTGGAGACTGGTTTGAAATGAATGCTGAGCACACCGACTGATTGAACAGGCAGGGCAGAGAGGGCAGACAACAGGTCACGTGACTGCGAGGTAAGAAACATCCAAAAGGAAGACACTCAACTAATGTTGACTTTGAACAGAAAGAGAAAGGGGGGGGGGGGCACAGATGACACACAAACAAACAAACACACATTTTGTTAGACAGATAAAATGAATGGGTCCTTAAAGTCAACGTTAGTCTGTTGTAGTTTTTTTCTTTGGATCGAGTGGCTGCACCCCAAACCTTCCAAATAGGAACGAAACCAAGCAGAGAGAAAGCTTTTGAAGATGGCGCACGGGATAATACAAGGCAGGATAAAACTGTTTATGTTCACTGTGCAGTCTAGAAAGAACTGCAACTGTTCACTGGATAACAGCCATTATAACGTTGTTGTTTTTTAAGAAAAGAGAGGAAATAAAATAAGAGGAAGAGGACAGAGATAGTGATAGAAAAAGAGCTTGCTTGGGCATGCAGTGCAGGCATGTGAACAGGCAGCACGCGAGGGGTCCCTCAACTGGAAGCTCTACATGAGTGACTCCCTGATAGGCTGAGACTCAGCCATTAATCACTTGTCATGGAGTCACCCCCTCCCCTGGTCAGGACAAGAGAAGGACAGAAACAGGAGGAAAATCTAGAGGCAAAAAAAGACTGAGGAAGATTAAGGAGAGCCCCTGGACACTGATCTACGGTCAGTTTTAGGTTCGAAAATAGCAACCGTAAATCAGATCCAAAGGGAAACAGAAGTGTGGAGCGAATCTCAACAGGTTTAAGTGGATTTTCTTTGCAGGTGAAATTCTTCTGAGAAACGGGATCAAATTATAATTGAACATGGAGATTCAATCATAGGCGGCTGTCGAGATTCGCCCCAGACAGATATTCTCGCTCTCTCCAGTGGCGCATAACTCTGTTTCCTCCGTGGAGGAGCAGCAGGACAAACGAACGTTACCTCTGCCACTTTGAGAAACTCAGACAGTTTGGTCATCCTGTTGAGGAAAGTCTTGTAGATCTCCAAAGCTTCTTTGCACTGGTTCTTCTTCATGTCAAAGTATTTCTCTGGGTATCAGAAAAACATTCCAAAATCAGCACAAAATCACTGTTTATTCACAAATCAGGGAAAAGCACATGTTTGCCATCAGTAAATACCTTATTTTAGCCCACTGAGGTGCTAGAGGATGATGTTAGAAAGTGTATACAATAAAACAACGACTTCAAAATCAACCCGGTACTGATTTGTCCTGATAAACCCGCACATCTGGTGCAGATGAAGGCTAAAATATATTCCTCATAGAGTCCCAGTTACTATTTAACCATAGTTCAAGAGCCGAACATCAAGTCAATTAAGTAATGAATCATTTCATGAACTCCTCATTGAAAAGTCTGATGGTCTGTTCTCAGCCCCTGACTCCTCACTGGCTTAGTAATTAATGGAAGAAAAGAAGGTGATCTTTTAGATGCAGTCGGAGGAAAAATAGATGTTCCCCTTTTTAAAGAAGGATTGAGTCTCGTTAGTCTCGCATAGCCAGACCTATCTCCAAACAGCGCTGTTCAAACCAATCACAATAGTCCTGGGTGTCCTCGCAAAATAGATAGCGGAATGGGAAGGACAATGCCTGCTCATAGGCGGCCAATGGCAGGCTCATACCTGCAGTCTACATCCAGTGAGTCAGACTACAGTCTTGTGATCTCAACATCAGAGGCAGATTACTGCATAAATACTACTGTATCTGCTGTATTGTGTGTGCGGTTTACCCAGCATGTTGATGACCCCTTCGTTGTAAGCAGCAAACAACCGTATGGAGTCTTTAAACAGCAACATGAAGGCTGTGTTTATCACTCCATTGGTTAGCTCGTTGGAGTTAGGCTGGAGGAAAGTCGGAGAGAAAGAGAAAATGAATGAGATCGGATCAAGATATTACGGTATTTTACAATCAAGCGTTGAGTCTTTGAGTTAGATGTTTTACCTGGAAATCCAGCAGTGCGTCCAGCTGGTTTTGGATGATTGGCAGAGTCTTGATCAGCTTCTCTGTGGTCATGGTGCGCATCACGCCATCAGCTCTGGTAGCAGACAAGAATACATACATGCACACACACACACACAGGATTTATCAGGCCTGGAGACCTAAGGTGTGTACGTGTGTAAGGACGTCCCTCAGATATACGCTGTTGTGGATTAGCATCAAAAAACACACTTTAAAGGGGACATATCACAAAACAGTCACTTTTTCTGTGCCTCTGCGCATATAACTGGGTATCTGTTGTTCCTACCAACCCACAAACTGTAAAATATAACAACCCAGTCAGTTTCTTTTGTTGGCTGTCTAGGTTAACTATATAGCAAACAGATTTAGCCTTTGGATTGTTGAATCACATGTTTTTTTCTGAAGTAAAGCATTAAAATAAAAAGTTTGGTCAAAAAAGCCCATGCCTCTCCATATATGTGACGTGTGTGTTGAGTTTGTTACCCTCTCTTCATCTTGGTGAAGTCCACTGCTGCTAGTCTGTAAGACATGGCTTTTTCATTCAGGTAGCGGCTGTAGCGTCTGATGAAAGTTGACATGTTATATCCTGCGGGGGCACAGAGGGGGCGCTGCAGTTAGAGACGGATCACCTTGGCCTATTTTCAAAACCGTGTTAAGAAGCTATTATCCCCCTCATAGGAAGTGGACTTACTTCTCCACGAGCAAACTGGCCTTTGCACAATTTTACCTTCAGGTTTATGTATATATTATATAGTATATTTAATTACAAAGTCATGTGTTTCCAGTAACATTCAGCAGCTTCTTTGTGTCCAACAAAAGGCACATTTATCTGTAGCGTTTCAATCCCGGACCGTAGCTTCCCTTTGAAATCAGCTCTGAAATGGGCTTATTGATAGTGTTACAGAGCCAGGGAGAGTCTGACATAAAGTCATTATGTTAGACGTGCAGCACTGCTGAGTTTACAAACAGCCAAATAGCATTAAATCACCTTGTAGTGCAGCCTTATCTAGAAAGTTGTTGAGGTTGAAGAGCGTGTTTCTGGAGGCAAGGTACTGCATCAATCTCTGATGGGGGGAAAAAAAGAGAGGACAGAGTTAGTGACTTATCTGATGCTGTTCCCTGACAACAGTGTCTATGTCACGCAAAGCGAAGGGTTTGTTTCTAGACAGGAGTTGCAGCTTTAAAAGCATTTCACAGAGAGTTTGTGGACTTAAAGTCATGAAATGGACACTTTGACTTCCTTCAAAACTGTAGCTGCCCTTGTTTTTAAAGGTCGGAGTAAAATTGAACAATGATCCCATTCCAGCATCCTGTTTTGACAACAAATGCATCACATTAAGGAAGTAAAGGTGCCAATCAATGGGTTTTAAACCCTCTGTTTTTCTGGGCAGGTAAACTCGGAACATATCGTCACTATTTGTGCTGCGAAAAGTTTGTTGTTTTGGAAACTTTTGAGAGGGTCAGTGTACCTGCTGTAATCCCTCTCTCTACTCTGACACGCTCATCGTTTAACATGTCTGATGCTTTGGATGTTGCTCCTGTAGTGTGAGCGAGCGGAGCGAGGTGATTTGTCACACTGGCCATTGAAATGTCAGCGGTATACATCATCAGTCCTTGTTGCACATGCGGAAGATACCGCTTCAGAGAAAGTTGCTGCAAGAGTTGGAGAGAAATTGCTCCAGCCTTGTGAGCAAAATGTCAGATTCTGGACAGACCAATGACTCGAGCTAGCCGATTGGCAATCGGTCTGTGTGTATGGAGGCGGAGGCTCAGGGAGCATTAGATTGCACAGGAAATGTCTTTGTTTCATTGACTCCCATTTGCACTTTTCTAATGCTTCATTAATAGTTCATCATCTTGTGTTGGCCTGCAACTAACATAGCATTATCAATAAATCTGTATAAAGTGTTCCCAACAATTAATAGACTATCTACATTGTCTTTGATTGGTTTTCTGTCCATTGACTAATGGAAAATTGACAAATCAATTCAGCACTAGTGAGCTCGTCTTGAAGCTGATAGTCTGCAGCTTTCCACTGTTACAACTAACTGGACCAACGATCCAGGCATAGATTGCTGTTGGAGTTGACCATCAAGCTTGTGGCACGGCAGTTTGTTCTTCACGATTGTGTATCCTGTTGTATTGTATTGAGGAATAAATCAAGCTAACACCCAGGATTATGACAGCAATACTGATGAAAACATTTTTTAAATCACTGCTATGAGAACATTTTTACAGCTTTCTTTCTGTTGAGGCCACATAATATCTTTGATCTCATTGAAACAAGCTTCTTATTTCAAGATGCCAAACTACTTTCTTGTCGTCCTGAGGTTCTTTGCTCACCTCGTTGCCGTACATCATGAGGTGGTGTGTGGTGATGAGCGCTTTGAAAACCACTATCCAGCTGTTGCTGGCCGTGCGCTCCAGCAGTGTGTCTGCCAGGTGGGGGATGCTGACGTTCAGCTCATTGGTGCAGTGGATCAGGTCTGGAGGACACAAAACAAATAACATAAACTATTCTGGACATACAGAGAAAGCTGTAAAAGAATAAACCAATAATTGTATTGGTTTATGATAAACAAAGGTTATAGAAACGGGCATGTGGCCAAGAGGAGATCATCTGTAAAGTCGCAGGTTTGACTGCTATGAACATTCACGTGTCCTTCAACTCAAACGTTGCATTTTCACTTACTGTAAGTCACTGTGAATAAAAGCACCAGCCACATGCCAATGTCTTAATTTATTACCTTAGAGAGCTTACGGGCTGAGTTATTGAGAATCAATGGAATGAATGAACCTCTACGATGAAGGCAGTCTTATCGAATTTTGACTCTCTCAATATCAGCACTCGTATAATGAATAAATGATTATATAATGATAGAGACTGAATAGAGAGATGAATCAGAACCTACTGTATCACAAAATCCAATTGTGTGGCTTCTATTCAACAGTGCCACCTACTACTAAAAAATAATCAAGTAAGAATATGGAAAATTATGTTACAAGGTCAATTCAACATCAACAATGGATGCATACTTTGAAAAGAACGGCCAAATGAATAGCCCCATGATGAATAATGAGTCACAGTTTCCTTACAAAGCATCATCGTTAACAATAATGGAATAAAACCATAGACTGTACAGGACGTAGTCATTTCGGCATTTTGGCTGTCGCCATCTTGATCTTTGACCGTCGCCATTTTGTTTTTTTGCAACCAGAAGTGAAAAACGAGAGGGTGGAGCTCAGAACAACCAATGCTGACTTAGACATTTTTAGGCAACCAAAACATTACAATTAACATTCATGAAACACTCTGTGAAAGGGTTAAAGTTGTAAGATGAAAACACAGGAAACTCACAGACCGGACAATGCCGTGGTAACGACCTGTCAGTCACAAGGCAGCCCGCCCTAAAGCATACTCTGCTTTATTTTACTCTAAATGGGACAATAATGCACTAAATGAACATCATGCTGTATTGATAAAGACATGAAACTAGTTATTGAGACCATAACCTCATGTTCACAATGAACTCATGTCACTCATGTCACAAAGACTGCGTTGACTCAAATGTTTACCGAATGGGACTCTCTCTCATTTAGAGTGTAAATTATCTGTTCAAAGCAAACGTGTTCCACATTTGAAAAGGAAAATAGCTCAACGTTCTGCTGTTTGTCGGATTTAAAAGCTCCGATAAGATGGCAGGCTGATGGTGTGTATTTTTAATGAAGAACTGCCAAGTTAACTCAGGAACAGGATCAACTTTAAAAGCAAAAGAGAGAAGTTTTCAGTTTAATGTTAACAATGGTATGTCATTCAGAATTCAGCTGTCAACACTAAACATACAATGAGGTCAGGTTGGTGGAACAATGCCCTACATTCTTCAAGGATTTCTCTGGCAAAAGATCAAAATGTGAAATATGTTCGGCCTCTGTTTAATCTCAAAGATTTACTGACTCCCTAGTTAAAGAACCAAGCTCTTAAATAGCAGAAACATGTTTATGTGCCCTGAATACTGCATATATTCTGCAAAGCTTATTTAGCTGTGATTCAGTTGGATTACTAAAAATAAAAGATTAAAATCTCCAATTACAAAGATTATTTATTCTCTGAAACCTGACCTTGTGTGTTTTACAGTAAAACCCTTTGACTGTATTGTAAATAGACCGTATTGTGCACTTGTAGAGCTGCTTCATACAATCTGTTCAGTGACGTTAAAGATCTTTTCTGGATAAACCAATTACATTTATTTCACTATTCTGCTCTGAAAATCCCCGTGTAGACGAACAGTCTTCTCTGCGGTACTGTAAAAACTTGAGATTGAGCCGATTATTTAAAAGCCGATCAGGAACAGGCTCTAATACTAATGTTAGTGTAAAATAAATGCCTCATTTAGTGATGGAACCAAGTGACCGAATAACAATAGGAATAAATCACAAATATGACCAGATGAGATGGAACACCTAAAGATGAGAAGCAATTGAATTTGACAGCCGAGCACAACATGGAAAAGAACAACACATCAACATATATAATGACAAATAAAAAAAACTGAATTTAAAAAAGGCAGATTCAGTAAGTGAAACCACTGGGGCAGTGAGAGGAAGTGAAGTTGTATTCAAAGAGAGGCGAAGAGAGAGATTTGCGTGCTGAGTTACTGTGAGAAAACTTTGGTTTGGTTTCTGAGGCAAATCCTTGGTCTGTTTCTTCCACGGGATCAGAGGTTATCGGGGTTTATTTGGAAGCTCTCTGATGTTTTCTGCGCCCACTGAAACGCTGGATACAAAAGAGCGCCAGTTGATACCACGGTTAAGTTTTCGATGCATGTCAAAGGCAGCCCGTTGCACCGGCAGTTCACTGCAGCTAATGCCTCAATCCTGTTCATCTTCACTTCTTATGTTATTCAGCAGTGTGAAAACCCCAGGGGCAACAACACAGACGATAACAACTCCGACAATATTGATTATAGTCTTCATCGACTCGTCCAACTTTGCCTGCCATGACTGGCTCTCGCTCTGCTGCATTAACGTCACAACATTTGCTTCCCTGCATGAAGGACAAATATAAAGGTCTTCCAATATCTGAAAGTGGAAAGTGAAACCTGTAGTAAACAATATTTAAAACATCATCAAATGATTCTCAAACACGTTGTTAGTAAATATCCATATACAGAAATGCTAACATAAAAAAAAGGATCAGGATTTATACCCGACCGCGATGAATCTTTACTACTGTAGTACCCTGGACTCCCCTCTAAAAATAAATAAAGACCTTTTTTTCTTCGAATAAAATTTCGGGGCATTAATATCAAAACGATACATGGTAATAGCAGCGTTCAGTCATGCTTTACTCATTGTTAATGGTTTGTTTGTGAATTTCCTTCCTGGCTTAATAATTAATGGGACCGTATTGATTTTGGCTAATTAATGTTTCCTGTCACAAGTGAACAAACACACCAGTAAGGTGGACCTGCTTCACACTTTTTAGCCTCTATAGCGTCATCGCTGTATGAATGTCAATGTCAATATCTCAACAACTATTGGATGCATCCCCATGACATTTGGTGCAAACATGTATGTTAACTTTTCACAGTGCGCCATCATCAGCCTAACTTGTCCGCTCCTTTGCTTTGTGACCAAATACCTGAAAAACGAATGACGCTCCCACCAGCTTCAGTTGTACTTTATGTTTAGACGTGCTAAACTAAAAAGGTGAACATGGTTAGCATTATACCTGCTAAATATTAGTTTGTCTGTCTGGTTGAGGGTAGTTTGACAAATCCGTGTCTATTTTCTGTGCTGTATTTTGTTGTTTTAATGGAGAATAGTATAATGCACGAGCTAATTAAGAGCTAACAGGCTGTACAAATTGGCTAGCTTCACATGTCAGCTGCAGTATTTTATGTTTAAGTTTAAATCCTCACCAACATGCAATGTTGTTTTTGCGGTGATGACATTATGTATGCTTGTGAGGACTGGACTGTAAAAATGTAAAAACCTTTTTTACTTAGCATTTGGACTGTATTTATGTGGCACGTTTTCTTTTTGTTGTGACAGCTTGTTCAATTAGATGCAAGAAATTCGGTTAAGAGTGAAAAAAACTTGTTTAAATATATTATTTAACTTTTCACAGAGTAATAGCAAAGCACTCATGCTTCTGCTTAAATACAATTACACCTAAGCCATTCAGTCAAATGCTGGGTCCACCTGCACGCATTCCTTTGGGTGATAACCCATCAGCTAGGATTTAATCATAGACGTGTGACAGATTGCCAGAGGGATGTGATGAAAAATCGACTGCCAACTGGGATTATTGATAAGCTGCAGTCCAAAGGATATAATGTACATCAATAACACATTTAGAAATAGGATTAAGGATAACGTTGTGCAAACATTAATAAGAAGAACAAGATGACAACACGGTGTCATCAAGTTAAATTCACGGCATTTGTAATGCTAGTTAGGATAAAATGTAAAGCCAGTGTCTTAAAGTATGTGCGACCGCTTTAAATGTAATAAAAACTTTTTTTTAAAGCTGTTTCAAGACCTTGGCTTTAGATAAAGTGAGTCATTTTCACGAGTTGAAAATGCATCACAAGATGGGGTCATTATACTGACACAGATGTGGGAGTAAGTGTGTGGAGGTATCCATTCATTCCTGTAAGTCAAAGCCACGTCGTCTATTTCTCTTCTTCTGGCATCATTTCAACGTCTTATCTGTGTCACTTCATTTGGCTGGAAGGCCAAAAATGTGACCACTAAGGTGCACAAGGTCTTTGATTATTCTCCACACGTTTTGTTGCCTCTACGGTACATCATTATTACAACCATGACACACAACCAAATAAATCATATGCTGAATATCGCAGCTGTGTTGCTTTCGGGGGCAGAAGGTCATTTTTGGCCTGATTACTATTCTATGTGTGATGAATCTTATTTCTATCGCTGCTCTCTACTATCTCAGCCATGCAGAAGACCGACTTGTGAAAGTGAAATCCCATTACTCCGTCTGTCATGCTCATCATTGCTGTGAGCTAGTAAATAATCAACATTGGCCGTTTATGTCACCAACCAGTCTGTCAAGGTCATGACACTGTATTAAAAAGGAGATGCCGGAGAGACACTCTGAATAGCTTCAATGGCCAGCAATGTGTTTAATTTATCATGCGTGGTATTTGGAGAAACGGCACAGCGCTTCATCTATTCCTTTTACTGAACCTGGCAATGAGGGGTCGACAACAAGTTGAGTATATTTTCAAGGTAATTGAAACGTTGTTTGTATTTATCAAAGCTCTCAGATTAGGTAAACCGATTCAGAATCAATGCCCAGGTGCGCTTGTTCTGATGTAAACGTGAAGTTAGCTCCAGCGGATATGATTTTAAATATTTGCCAGCAACCTGTTTCATTATACGTTGTTCCTCTAAGCCTTTTCTGTTACCCACATTGATTTTGTCAATTTGTCCGTCCTGCTGAGAGCTGCATCCCTCCATTACCTCAACATACAGATCAAGTGTTTGCCGGTTTGTATAACCCGGCATGTTCAATTAAAAAAAAAAAAAAAAAAAAAAGACTCCAGTGGTGGTCTGGGTGAGTTGCACAAAGAGGGCGTGGGTCACACACACCAAAACCTTCAGACCTGAGATTGACCCTCAGTCTTGTACAGCTGGCTCACCAGAAGCTCCTTTAGAGCGGTTGAGTTAATTGCCTTTTCTTTGCATTCTTTATTCACTTCCCCACCACCAGGGATTACTGTAGATCCACTGACCTCCTGATCACAAACTCACTGCGTCTTCCATTAATTAAGCCTTGAAAACGCTGCACTCAATATAATGCCAGAGTTCTATGTTATATCATGTCCTGGATGGAGAAGCGAGGCCCCTCTAGAAGGAAATAGAAAGTGTTTTATTGTGAAAGCTAGCTGTGTCTATTAGAACAGCTGCATCTGAATGGCTCAAGTACAAAACATTCATTCAGCTAAAAAAAAATTCAATTCAGCCTTCCAGGGGAGTGAATTGAGCCAAGCCTTCAGTTTCTGCTTTGGCATGGAGCTTTTTATTCCACTAATGATCGGAATAAGAGCCAGAAACGCCTCGTGTAACCACCTCGACGAGAATGAACTGACCTATTATGAGAGAAACTTCATTGTCTTGAGAGCAGAAGTACAAACCTTTTCTTACAATCCATTTGACGGATGAAAATTTGTCATGTAAATTCTCCAGATCTATTTGAAGAATATCTGCTCTCACCCTTGAGTCAAGTGACATTTACTGGTTTCCGAGAGACTATACGACTCATGGCTGGTGCTGAAGATGGACGACCTTCTACCGTTTAATAACTGAGGGGGTATTGTGTTCTTATAAAACTGTGGCTTCGGCAGGAAGCACAACAATGAACCAATAATGGTGCCAATCACTTGATGCCCTTTAACTGGTTATTTTCTTCTGCACTTATAATACTTTTTTTAGAGTCATCAATTGGCTCGATTTTCTTTAGAAATTAAAAAAGTACACTCCGCGTTGGCTAATGTACCTTTAGAAATCCTCATCTGTACCAGCCAAGATTTGAACCCTCACAAATGGCTACAGCAGTAACACTGAAAAACATAGGTAATTGGCTTTTAGTGGTGGTCACAATCTAGATAAGATTTGTATGAAATCAAAGGAGAAGTAATTACTCGGTGTTGCGATTCAAGAGTCACAAAAGGGCTTTTTCATCGTAAGTGCATTTCTGAACCTTGTCAAACACCCCCACTGGGTGGGTTTTTTCCTGCTTTAATGGCCTTTTTTTTGTAGGATAGAGCGATACAGCCCTGATTTAGATGTATTTTGTTGAGGCGCCCGGTGGCACATCTTGTGAGGGAGTCCAGAATTCCCAGTGTCACCTCTGCTGTGGACATGACTGACTAATCCACTGCCAAACTTGCCGGCCGACTGGCTGGCTGACTCTTGGCTACCTGCCTTGTTGTTCCTCTCGGACTGATTTCATCTTGATTAGCCATCTTGCTATTCACTCGTCTGTGTCTGTCTGTCCGTTCTAGCTGTCCGGACTGACTGCCTGTGACTCTGACTGTCGGCCCCATTGATTACCCGTGCTCTCCATCGATCACGTCAAGTAATTATAGAAAATCCACCTAATCTAATAATCACTGTCAAAATCTACATGTGAGGAGTCCTCCTCCTCCCATGTGTAATTGCTACAGTTTGCCCACACAGCTAATTAGCAGAATGTGGAGATAAAGAATCTGTCTGCTCAAACGCCTCATTGTAACACCGCACCAGCAGAGCTATACAGTACACACACTGACTCTCTGCTCCTCCAGCACCTCAGGACTGCCGGCAGTACCACATCCATTAATGACTGTAATGCACCAGAGGACATGACAGTGAACTTGAATGTGACATTATAGAAACCTAAAAGACGATGTTGGTGATGCTGCAGAAATAACGCATATTTTGTTCTGAAGTGTCTCCAGAGAGAGGATGTAGAGCTGCTGCTGATATTGGCGTTAATAATGGATGGGCCTACACTGTAAAGCGGCTGGTTACAATATGATTAGCCCATACCAGAGTGGCCTATTTCCCCTGACTGACATGCACGGGCTGATTGCCTCTCGCCTTATATATACACATTTACTGGTCACACTAATAGCCAAATACATTGTAGCCGTGATTTGATGCGTAGATCCCATTTTAATCTAAGGGAATGTGATGTCTAATTAAAGAGGCTGCAAACATAACCGGGCCGGATGAGAGAGAGAAAAGGGGGGGGCATAACAGATGCTGTTTATACAAGCTATCCTTTGTGAGGAAAGATGCTGGTAGCTTGATGCATGCAGGCTATCTATACAGTAAGCAGTGATGGCATGCTTAACCTACAGTCAAGGTGCTTCTTCTTGGGTCCGCTGACTTCGTGCGTCGTGGCCTTGCAGACGGCTTTGCTGATGGCAGACCCGGTCATGCTGTGCTGCGCCGCGGCGATCCGGTCCGTCAAAGACTGTCCCGACATGTTACTGAGGAGGAGGTGGTGGTGGTGGTGGTGGTGGAGGAAGAGGAGGCAGGCGGAGTGATGGTCGAGGATTCCGGGTGGGGGGAACCGGGGAGGACGATCAAAATGTCTTTAGTGGCAGGGAGGAGGGTAGTGCCCTCTGCGAGAATCGGCCGTCTGAGCAGGAGGAGGAGGAGGAGGAGGAGGTGGTGGAGGAGGAGGAGGACAGCAGCGTACACCGGCAAGGATCCGGTGGGAGAATTCATGCGGCGGCCAAATAAAAGATTATACGGTCACATCCAGGGAACCATTAAATATTCAGTCAAAAGCATCAGGATGACCCAGCTGCAGAAAAAAAACGATTAGCCTATGTAAAAAAATAAATAATTAAAATGTATAATTAACAGCGGCCTGCATCAAAAATAGTAGCCTATGATATAAGACAATGTAGCCTACAGCAAACTGTAATATGTCCCTGAGATGCCGGCGGGATACGCACGAGAGCTGAATCGGAAATAAAGATGGCAATAATCGAACCACTACCGGTGATTATTATCAAATCTATGCGGCATGCCCTATGACTGAAGACTCATTTTTCCAGCAAAGACGATATGAAACGGCATTGTCCCGTCCCCTTTTCTCCTCTTCTTCGCCCGGTTTCTCCTCTGAATCTACGCACGGATCCAACCGCAAACACCTCTGATCCACACAGCACCACGCGCTGGCTGCATCTAACTCTAGCCGCTTTGATTTTTTTTTTTCCCCCCCCCCCCCCCCAGTCTTTTTAATTTTCTTACAAAGGGTGTATTTCTGTGTTGAGGTTGCCGATAGGCCAATTCTTTCTTCTTCTTTTTTTTCTTTGTGTCAGTCAAACTTGTGTGTAAAATGGCAGAACATGAATCAGGTGACTGGGAAAGGAGGGCGATTGGGCCACTTATCGGGTCCGGGGGAGGGCATCTTAAAGCAGAAGGCTGCCCCGGGTCTGAAAAGCTGTCACCACCTCGATGCATGTGGAGGGCTCAAGACGTGTCATGTGCAAACTATCCCTGATTACCTGCCATCCAATGAAATGTAGACACATATGGAGTAAAATCCATGATAAGATCAACACAAGATGTTTCATTGGTGTGATTCATGCTGTCTTATAATGACTGAAAAAATGTGTGTGGTGACCTCGATGATATTGTTGTGATTTTTATGACATTACAGTAGCAATCCTATGTTGTTGTTCATATAATAGGGTGCCTATGACCCCACAGTTTACAGAGATAGTGTGTGGTTGTTAATGGTACCATGATAAATCCAAGCAAACACACAGGACATTCATGTGAAGGTCCCCATTTGGTGACATTTCTTGTAGACTTAAAAATATCCTGGTTATGTTCCAGTTGGATTCATTTAGTTCCAACAGCATTCCCAGTGTGTGTCTCAATGGCATTACATGGTCAAGTAAATACCATCTGGGAGCAATCAGTGATGGTTCCGGCTTTGTTTTTTTGAAAGACCAACATCTTAAGAAATTTCTGTAGGAACGACATATTGCAGGAAATATTGCTGAATCAAATAGTTAAAGATAGAGATCCTGGGAATCTGTATGGAAACATCATTTAGAAACCGCATGGAAATGTTCTAACTCAAAACTAATAACAACACAATAATAACTATTTACAAAGTCACTGCTCTTTGTAGCCATTTTAATTTGTTTTCTTTGTATGACTTAAAGGAGGCGATATTGCACTTTAAGACAGCAACTGAGAATTATTTTCATTAATCCGCTGATTAAGTAGGTTAATCTTTTAATTGTTTGGTCTATAAAATGTAAAAAAACAAATCCCATTATAATTTCCTAAAGCCCAAGGTGACCTCCTCGGATGTCTTGTTTCATCTGATCAGCAGTTAACCTCCAGCCCCAGTTTGTACCTCTCATATATTAGCATACTGTACGTCGGGTCACAAAGGTCTATAGACCGTCAGAGTCTCAAAGACATTATTAACCAGATAAAACCCTCTGGGTGACACTGATACTTACCGCTGTTCTGACTGTATTTTCAGAATCCTCAAAGACTCTCCTTGCTGGTTAATTATCTTTTCATAGAAACTGATGGTTACCTCTGTGACTCATGTGTAAGCTAATACATGAGAGGCACAAACTGGGGGAAACCAAGCTAATCAGAGAAGCTGGAGGAATGTTCATTTTTTAGAGAAAAAAAAAAAAAACTTCAACGATTAGTTAATCATAAGAAAATGAATAGCTGCTGACTAATCTGTAAATTGTTTCAGCTCTATTTGCTCTCGTTTGTCGAGGCTGATTTCCAAATTTTGAGGGTGAAATGTGTGGAGCTGAGAGGACGTGACACATTCAAGGACGATGCAGCTGACAACATACTGCGCACCATATGACACCACGAATACATTTTTTATTGCATGTAGTCTGGTCCACAGATAATGCAGTTACAAATGTTTTGTATTACAAGGACAGGCTATTACACATCAAAGGCAGTGAAGTGGAATATAAAGCTGAGGCCTAATTCGAAAAAACATGGAATTTCAAATAACACTCGAGGCAGACTCAACAGAGGCGGCTGTTCAGTTGTTGCTGCGCTAAAAAGACACACATGCCATGCTTTCGACTGGCGAGAAATCGATTTTAGGGTTGAAGAAAACTCCTCATACCAACAATAGAGCCAATAATTTGACTGTCAGTCGGGTTTGCTATAAAGGTTATTTATCTCTAGAGTGAACATTCACTTTGAGGATGTGATGTAAACCGTTCTAGACTGAAACCACACATGTATACATAATGAAATGGAAATTGGTGCTTAACTAAAGGAGGTGCTGTTCATCATGAAAAGACGGTAATACTGGAAGAACCACAGGCGTTGTGAAGTGCTTCACACTTTACCACTGCTATTCCTAATTAAAGAAATTCTCAATCCACTAATAGCCTTCAGGTTTTATTAACGACTTGAATAGTCCATTTAATGGACATATCTGTTTAACAGACCCTAACCCCATTTCCTCCAAAACATTTATGTTTATTTCGGACTGCAAAGGAGTCTTGTTTCTTTTCTTGGTAGCACGTGAGAGCAGATTTTCCAGCCCGTCAGTTCATGATCCAGTGTGAAAGGAAATGTCTTTTCGTATTAGCAGGCCTATTATGAATACACGGGATGCACCCTCTGTGTAATGTTACATAAAGGGATTCATTTCTACTTCAGATTAGCAAAGAAAAAAGGCTGTGATCTTCAGCAGATGGATAGTAGGCTGCAGCCTTTGTATTGACACGACTATCCAGTAAGTTTCACTCGAACCATCGCCGAGTCATTAGACAGTACACATCCGTTTAAACCCAGTGGAACCAGTTGAACCAAAGAACATTCAAAGGATCCAAATGATTTGATTTGAACTACGCAACAATGATTTTGAAGATCGTGGGCAGAAAATAAGGCCGCTCACTATGGGCAGCATCGCGTTATCTTTTTGTGTACAACATTTTATTGATTTCAATCATCTTATTAACGGAGCACCAGACCCTGCATGATTATATTAAAATTAGTTTGACCAAAACAAAATCTCAAAAGGAATAATATGAGTTTAAGATGATTAAATCGATACCTGTTTGTTAAATATTAGACGGCAGCCAGCAGTCAGTTAGTTTAGCATGAAGACTGGAAACAGGGGGAGACCTCCAGCTTGGTTCTGTCTAAAGGTAACACCATTGAAGCACCTGTAAAGATCACTAATTCACACATTGTATCTTGTTTGTTTGAGTTATGCAAAAACTGAAGTGTAAAGACACACACATTAAAAAAAAAAGTTTTTAAATGCATTAAAGGGACAGTGTGTAGGATTTGGTGGCATCTAGCGTTGTAGTTGCAGATTGCAACCAATTGAACCCCCCCTCCCCTCCCCCTTTCTAAGTCTGCGGTAAGGTAAGCAGCCATGTTCAAAACCGTGGTAACACCGTCCGCCGTTCTCAGAGGCCATTCTTACCATAATAACACTTTAGGAGCAACAAAAGTCAGACTGCGACTGGTGGTACCACAGTTTTGCACTCTGCAGCTCACGCTACTATTCACATGTGTGTCAGAGAACAACAGTGGCCTTCAGGTAACGTAAAACACTTAAAGGTTCTCATTAGAGCCAGTGTTTGCTTTGTCTGTACAGGAGTAACATGGCGGTGCAACATGGTGGACTCAGTGAAGAGGACCTGCTCTCTATACGGAAATATAAACGGCTCATTCTTAGCTGATGAAAACACAATGATTCTTATTTCCAGGTGATTATACACCAATGAAAACATAGCTATGAATATTATTTTTCATTTCTGCTAATAAATCACCAGACATGCTACACACTTGACCTTTTAAACAAATGAGCTGGAGCGTGTTAGTTATTGAGGACTTTGTTTGGACAGAGGCAGGCTAGCTGTTTCTCTCTGGTTTCATCTTTATGCTTATAGTCAGGTGGTCATAAATTATAAGGAAAGATCAATCTTCTCGTCTAATTCTCTGTCAGAGTTTCAGCTGGTAAAAGACAGCGGAAACCTGAATCTGTAGAAATGACTTCCTAGACCTCAGTCGCACTCATGGTGGGGACTGCGTGGATAGAGACACTGTCTTGTATGTTAAGCTTTAGGTTCAATGCATGAAATTCAGGACATTTTAAGCATTATGCAGTTTTAGCTGTTGTCATATCCCTTAAAGACTGCCTTTACTCACTCTTGTCCACTGATCTAATTGCAGACTGCATGACGATCGGCTGAGCAAAAGTGCAAAGAAGGCAAGAAGGCTTAGTGCTTTTATGTTCGTGTTCACACTGCAGACAGACGTGCCGAAGTTTGAAGAGCTGTCGGTTCAGCCGAGTGTCAAAGGCACAATGTCACTAAAAAAATGACACTACGATCTGTAGCAAAACAAAGGATGAAATAAACAAACTTTTTGTTCCATAGTTGTGAAATTTAAGTAAATAAAAAATAAAAAGTGGACACATCGGTCTGAAACATTTAATACCTATCATTCTAAAACCTTTATTAATTTAAGACATTTTTTACCTTGGCCCGCAGTGTGAACAAGCCCATGAACATTGGCTCTCCCCCGTTTTACAACAGTCCCTGAGTCAGACTTATCTCAGTGGCCTCACACAGCTATTCACTTCCTGGTTGTCTGTGATTGGTCTGGAAGTCACCACTTCACACATGTCGAGCAGTTGAGATGATCCTTCGTGGTGTTCGTGTATCCAGACAGGACGAGGGCGCCGGGGTCTCGCTCTACCACCGGGCTCTCCTCGTTGTTCAGGATGTGCTCCACCAAGCAGCGCGCCGCCTCCTCGATGTTTGCGTTTTCCTGAGGGAGGGAATAAAAGAAGACACCATGTGAAGAAATCATGTGCTCTTTATAGCCACTTCACACACAGCCATAGTGGCAATGCTCTATGGATGGCTATTGTGATAAAACCAATAAAATGTGTATCTGTCCTGTTGAAACAAAGCGTAACAAAAGCACAAGTAGACAAGAATCACTAGAAAACAGTAGGTCAAATTAGCCACCATAAGCCAACAGTCAATGTGGAACCAGGTGAGAGTGTATCACCATAAAACCCCTAAATGTGTAAGGGTGTGATTTATTCAGCGTTGGGCTATTTCTTCTTCCATTAGTGTCCACAAATGTCTAACGCAGCCCTCGTCACAGTCAGGGTGGAAAATACAGCATATCAAAAAGTGTGATTTTTGACTTACCTGACATCTGACATGGCACACTAACTTACTAATCGGAAGCCAGGATGTCACACTGTGATAGAAACACTATTGTTTCTATTCTGTCTTCTGAGCCTTTGTGTTCACTAACCCCACTACTGTCTCTGACTCGCACCCTAGTGTGCAACTCATTAGACGGGCTGGAGAAACAGAGGGTTAACTCACACCCGACTGCAAACATTCCTCTTTGTCTCGTGAGAGCACGGCAAAGAATATCTGACTTTTTGTGTTTGTACTGACACACCCTACATTCATTTTCAGAATCGTTTGGACTGCTGTTGTTTTAACATTGCCATTTCAGCAGGTTAAATATGTAGTTAACCTGACTGTGTATATTATGTGCAGAGCAGCTGACTTTGATTTACCCCCAAATTAAGTCATTTAGTCTTTGGCTCAAGTCAAGCCCCTTCACAACTCTTTCCATTAGGAGGTTAATCAAAGAAGCCCTCTAACCTTTTATATTTACCAGTATATTAAGTGATTAATGGAACATGTTACTACCTCAATCTATCTCAAAATGTCTTTTCCACTGATTTTGCTGCAGTAACTGCATCCAGTGTCTCCTCTCTCGTACCTTTGCAGAGGTCTCGAACCAGCCGACAAAGCCGTTCTCCCTGCAGAAGGAGTCGAGTTTGGGCTGCTGGGAAGCCAGCTGGTCTGACTTATTGGCCAAGAGTACAGTTGGAACTGGCCTCCCATGGTTCAGGGTCACCTGTAAAGTGAAGAACGACAGCTTAGACGATGGTTGTACAGACTTTTAATACAAGCAATTTAAAGTGTAACTGTAAAAGGATTTGTTGTAAATACCCTTGTGAGCATATTGATTGTTCTTCAAGGTGTCATTGTGCTTTAATAGAAGTACTTTTTAACGTAAGGCCCCTCTCCTCACACCTTTCCTATGTTAGAATCAATGTTTGAAGTGAATAAAGACCTCCCCGGCTTTAGCGTCTATCGTTTTCTGTTTTTGCTGCTGAATCAGTTTGACATTCTGGATATATCTTTCCAACGCATATTGTAGACTCTTCTGTCTGCTTCTTTCTGAAATGTCCTTTTTTAATTTTTCCCAAAAATGACATTAGACATGTATGCAGGGAGGGCAGGTAGTGACAGTGTGGGCTCGATGGTAGCTGTGACAGCTTGATGGAGGAGCAGGAGGGGGCGGGCTTAGAGAAGGGTCAATTCTGACGTCTGAAAGGTGTGAAGGGCATACTGACACCTCAAGCAGTTCCAATGTAGCATCTTTTTCCTCTGCAGACTATTGATATAATGTCACCGTACATGAATTTTAGGACATTGTGGCTGCAATTTTTCAAACTACTTTTCTCGACCGTGGAGCTCTCAGCACACACTTGTGCCTCTGACAGCTGTTAAATCCTTTCTTCCCTTAATCTCACTTTGAATTTGTTCCTAAAGTACATGAAACCCAGGTGACTACAACAAGCAGTAGACATACTGCAATGAAAATGAAAGATATTTAGACATAAATGTGGATGATGTCCATGCAGTATCTGCGAGTTCCTTTTCATTAGAAATCTTTAAACCAAAACAATATCGCTGCCCGAACCGTAACGGTAACTTTGGCATTAATGTTGTCCTTTGTGGCTGTGGCCATGTGCGGGTATAAATATAAATATTACTTTTCACTCCTCTGAATGCGACAGGATGACAGTTTGTGCTGACCTTGGAGTCCAGGTCATCCTTCCACTTCAGCACGGCGTCGAAGGTCGAGGCCCTCGTCACGTCAAACACCACCAGCGCTCCCACCGCCTCCCGGTAATAGACGCGAGTCATGTTCCCATACCGCTCCTGTCCTGGGATGCATGGTACAGCCAATCAGACACACACACACACACACACACACACACACACATATTCATGAAAAGACACCTTCCAAGTCCATCAAATTAAATCAACCCACACCACGGTTTGTCAGTGATAAATATAGCGAGTTTGTGTGTATGTGTGTTTATTCTACAGTAGCCGCCATCATGTGACTGGTATTATCTGCATGGGATCACTTGAGTCACAGCCAGGCACAAGATCTACATTCCTCAACCAGGCTTCAAATGAGGGAGGGACCCAGTTATCCAGCACACAGACACACACACACTCTCTCTCTTGGAATTCACGTCACCCACCGCAAAAATCTCCATGCTATCAACTTATGTTTGTACCTCACCGAGTCCTATTCTGTATATTGTTTCAAGACACTGGAAAGCAGTGAATATAGTCCTATAGCACTGGCAAATAGCTTGAATAAGTTGGAGATGTTTTGCAGTGTCCAACTGGCATTTCTAAAAGGTTTTTCACAGGCCCCTACTTTCCTAAAACTGCCCTCAGATTGATTTGAAAAGTTAAGGTATCCAGAAGTAGCTTTAAAAGATTTTCAGTAGTAGGTGAAACAAAAGATTTTTGTTTCCAAAGATCCTAAAACACACGTTCTTGAAAATTAAATCCTGCAGAGCTTTACAGTTTCAATAATCACCTGACGCAACAATAAACCTGTAAACCGGAATGTACTCGTTAAAGTTTGACAGACCTGCTATGTCCCATAGCTGTAGTCGGATCACGGTGTCATTGTTCCACTGCAGCACCTTCAGGGCGAAGTCCACGCCGATGGTGGCTCGGTAGTGCTGGGAGAAGATCTGATGCACGTACCGCTTGATGATGGACGTTTTTCCGACTCCCAAGTCCCCGATGACCAGGACTTTGAACAAAAGCTCCTGCTGCATATTTGCAGCTCTGCAGCCACACACAAAAAAAAAAACTCCTCGAAGAATTAATGTAACTCTATGAAGGATGTTGGTGCACAGGTATCGTAACAAAATTCAAAACTACAGCAAAGTCACGGAAAGTAGAATAAATGTTATTGGGCTAGTTGGACATTTTCTTCAGTTCAATGCACTGAGAGAAAAAAACGTTATGATTCAATATCATCAAGATTTGCAAAAGCAGCGGTCAAGTTCGCCTGTGATCACTGCAGTCCACCCGCTTGATCACACATCGACTCTCTGCTCCCGTGAAGCGACTCTCACCGCAGCAGCTCTGAGCTGGTGGTGCGTTCAAGGGGTCCTCGTAAAAACTCCGCTTCGGAATTTATCGCGCAGCTGGTTTTCTTGGATAGGCTGAGGAACCTTTACGCAAGTAAAACTATCAAAGCTACAGTATACATTATACATGGCGGATCATAGAATATGTCCTGTGTGTAAAGTGTTGATTTCAAATGAAATTAAAACACTTTCTTACTGTAAATGCGTTTGATTTCATATAATATACTGTATTTCTGTTATTGAAAATATGTAACCTAATATCTGGCGTTAAACAAGTAAAATAATTACTGATCGTTTTTGTGCTTAGTGTATATATGGATAGAAAAAAAATGGCAAACAATGTTATGTCAATATGCGCTCACTTCGTATTTACATTATTTTGTTGTTGTTCCTACAGTCTTTGAAGGTAGCAGCAGGACCGTTTGGATTGTTGCTGCGCTGCCCTGCGTGCAGTTACGGTAATGGTGCTGATGAGGGCGAGGAGGAGATGTGTGATGCTGCTGTTGTGTCCTGCTGCCATTTCGTCCGCGGATCATCACGGAAATATCAACTGTCAAATGAACCAGCAGCTCATGTTATCTGTCGGTTTGAACACTCAACAGGCTGCTTTCATCTTTAAATGCTGACGGTGGACAAGACGCCGGCTTAATATGATGCATGTTATTGGCTGGTTATTTCTGTAATTCAACCACTGCTACTCTGGAGGATCATTTTTAGAAGATATAATCATCGATATGGGGTTTGTTTTTTACAGGTACTGAGCTCCTAACTTTAAGGTGGGTCATCATTACCGATTTTTATTAGATTGTTTTCCTGAATGTTAACCATTAATGTAAATAATACTCATACTGGCATTAAGCTAAGTGGGTTGGGCCTCCTTATTTTTCTATGAACTGAGCATAATATTTTATTATAAGCAACACTGGAGGTCTTCTAGGAAGCAGAATATTATTAGCTAGCGGTCCTGTTTAACAGCTGTCTCCTTATTAAGCTTATGTTTGGCTAGCTTCAAGGCCTCATTTTGTGTTATTGCTGTGTAGCAACCAGCCTACTATCCACATGGGGGCTGACTACACCAATGTTTATTGAGTTGGAGAGGAGTGGCCTCCCCCCCCCCCCCCACCCCTTCCCCTCAAATTAGATCACCCAACTGTAAATCACATGGACACTGCTGAAATGATTTGAGCCTATTACTTTCCCCTCATGGTGGCAGCCATAATCCACGAATAATCCATGTGGTCGACACAGTCTGGATGACATTTGTTTTTAATCTGAATCTATTCAAACACATTCTCTGTTATTCTGTTGTTTTCACTGTCGAGGCTTTAAAGCGTGTCGAATCTCAGCTGTTGTGTCTTTTTCTTCCCTTTGGAGGATTTGTATTGTTAGTGAGCAGGACTACAGCCAAAGGTCAAGACAAGACCATGTTTTTAATTTCATATCTTGTGAAGATAATTTCTGCGGTGGTTTTGTGAGACAGTGTGTACACACTTTGTTTTGTCTTAAGTCTTAAAATATACTCCCATTCATCATTATTATATATTGATTTTCTTTTTCTTTTTTTAGAAAATGAAGCTCAATCTTCAGCTTTTGAACAGTTTTACATTTAGTTTTCGTTTTCTCTTCAAAGGACTGGATGCATAAGAACCTCCAATTGTAGTAATGTGGATTAGATCGAAAACATCAAGTGGCAACTGATAAAAGATTCGTTTTTGTAGTTTTTCATGCAAAAATGTCATGTTCTTCGTCATATATGATCGTAAACTCTGTGTCTTTGAGTTTTAAACTGTTCGGACAAAACAAGACCCTTGAAGCCATGACATGGATGATGGTGACCTCACAAGTGAATGCTTTTATTTTCTCACAGATTTGATTTTGGTGAGACATGGAGACGATATGGCTTTATCAGTTTCGTCTGATCGTCATCGGAGACTCCACAGTTGGCAAGTCGTGTCTGATCCGGAGGTTCACTGAGGGCCGCTTCGCCCAGGTGTCAGACCCGACGGTGGGCGTGGACTTCTTCTCTCGCCTGGTGGAGATCGAGCCGGGCAAAAGAATCAAACTACAGATCTGGGACACGGCAGGGCAGGAGAGGTTCAGGTAAAGTCAGGACTCTTTTATCTCCCCTTTGATCCTTCTCCTCCAGCCACAAACCGGCATCATGACTTGCAAACAAAAGTCACATTCCTGATAAGTCTAATGATGTGCTATATTTTTCTTATTGTCTAAAAAACACATTAAAATTCCAGAACCACGTGGATTCTTCCAACAGGTATATTTACTGTGTATCTGAAGCCTGATGTAGCTTATTCCTCCTTCCTCCAAAAACAATTACCAACACACCAGTGCTATATTGTTGCACTGGATGACATGTTTCTCCAATATGATCAACATGAGCATTGTAGTTTATGTTGAGTCAAGTCCACTTTACGGCTGCTGTATATCATTAAAGCACCAAATGGTTCCCAACAGATGCACCATTTAATCCTGTTGGAATCACGTTTTCCAAGAAGGACAGTGCCCAGCTGACTAAGGGTTAGGGTTCTTAAAAGCTAAAGTAGATAGTTGTGTCCCGTGTTTTTACAATTTACATCCTCATTACGAACAAACGGTCTTGGGGTAAGAGCCACAGCCGGGGTAGAGAAGGGTATTGATGGACTAATGCATTGATGGTTTTGGTCTTTTCCTGAGATTTGTTTATAATAATGAAAAGTACAGAATGATGCCAAGAGGTTGCATCCTGTCACGATCCAACACTTAACAGTTCCTTTATTTTAAACTGTTTCCACAATCTTTCCCTAATTGTAACCAGCTGTTTTAGGTGCCTAACCCTAACCATATCTTCACCATAGTTATAGGATAAGACTGGCAATATACTTTACTTTTGTTATTGACAACATACCCATGATCCCGTTTGTGTGGCTCTTAGCCCCAAGCCCACTGATTCCTACTGAAGACATACATCTTTAAAAAAGGGTCACGAATATATACTTTAATTTAAAGTAATTTTGTTAAACAGCTGGGCACTGTGATTTTGACAAACATTACTCAAACAGGAGTAAATAGTGCATTTGTTGTCTCTTCTTCTATTTTCAGCATAAACAACTAAGTTAGTTTCACATCCCATCCATCCATCTATCTCTCCAGGTCCATCACCAGAGCTTACTACCGTAACTCAGTGGGAGGGCTCTTGCTCTTCGACATCACAAACCGCCGCTCCTTCCAGAACGTCCACAACTGGCTGGAAGAGGCCCAGAGCCACGTCCAGCCACACAACATCGTCTTCCTGCTGGTCGGTCACAAGTGTGACCTGGAGGCCCAGCGTCAGGTGACCCAGCAGGAGGCGGAGAAGCTGGCGGGGGCCTTCGGGTTGCGCTATGTGGAGACGTCGGCACGAGAGTCGATCAACGTGGAGAAGGTGTGGATGAGATTTGACTATTTCTTCCCAGAAACAAAAGCTCTCTTATTTAGCTTCATCACCAAACTAGTTGCCCTCGCAGCTTTGAACCACACCCTGTGGTCTTCCTCAGCTGAGATTCGTTTATGATCCTTCATAATCTGTTCTTTATTTGCTTCTTTTTCTAAAGGCGTTTGTGGATCTGACGAGGGACATCTTTGAGCTGGTACGGAGCGGGGACATTAAGATCCAGGATGGCTGGGAGGGCGTCAAGAGTGGATTTGTTCCTAACACCGTCCACTCCTCTGAGGAAGTCACCAAGGGCAGCCGGCAATGCTTCTGCTGATTTACCTGGCTGCAGTGTGTGTGTGGGGGGGTGTGGGGGGGGGGGGGGGGGGGGGGGGGGGGGTGACAGGTAGTAATACTCCAGTGGACTCCAATCTGTAGGAGATCTGTCTCACGCCTTGGCTGCACCCTGGCCCGTTTTTTTGGAACTCGTAATATTTCCCCCTGCTCAGTTACACAAGTTACTTCTATATATAAGACATTGTTTTATCTTTCGGTGCCTGTTTATGGCTCTTTGTTGATGTTCCCAACAGGCGTAGAAGCACAAGAAGCATCCTAATATTCTCACTGTTCTGTTTGCATGTGTGTGTGTGTGTGTGTGTGTGTGTGTGTGTACGTGTGCGTGTGTGTGTGTGACTGACTGACTGTAATAATCCTGCTGTCTTTGCAGCTCTCAACACTTCAGCTTTACTGCACTTTTTGGCCTTTCCTAATGTGTGCAGTTATATTCCAGTGGCTAGTTATGTAGTTGGTGCACTTCTCTTAAAGACTGATACTGAATCAGAGATGCCAAGATGCCATCCCTCCTCCTTTAGATGCATAATATATATTGCAACCGTGTACAGACTATTTAACCAGTGAGAGAGAGAGCAGACAGAAAGAGATCCTCACTGATTGCACTGCACTACGAATCCAAGTGGCTTAACACACAAAGAGAGCGGATGATAATACAAGTGGACTCAAATTGAACCAAAGTTTGAGACTTTGTGTTTGTTTGTCTGACTGCGACCTGCTAACGACTGCTTGAGAAAGAGTTCGCACTGTGGAAATGTTCAACGGTACATTTGCTGAAAGGAAAAGATATTGTAGCCGATAGCCATTATAGCTTAATAATAGCGAGGAGATTTATCAATATGTTGAGTACCCACGTTCCTGTTTACTGTGTTGGATTACTGGTGGGAACTGTTAAGACGTAACCTTAAAGCCTTTTGTTTGGAACCCCAATATGTTCAATATTAAATCAATTTGAAAAGGATATTTTGAAACATTATTATGTGAATAAATTATGTAAAATATATATAAATGAACCAACATTTTGTAAAATAAATGAAGAAATGCTTCTAAGTTGTTGTGAAATGTTATTTGTTATTTTCATAACAACAGTTTTATTGGAGTTCATTTTTATTTGATTATTTACATTTTTTCTTAAAATCCCCCTGTTTTTCTTGCATGGTGGCATTTTCTCAATGGTAGTATACTTCATAACACGTTTTATTTTAAGATATCACTTCACATGACAGTGGTGTCGTGAGCGGCCCGTCACCTTGCCCCAAACAACTGCTATCAAATGTAGCCCTTTGTCTTTTTTAGTTAGCTGCTGTTAGAGAGACTGAATGGCTGCGTTTGGTCCCAGATGTTGCTCATAAAAACACAAAGTAACTCTGAATTAACCAGCTAGTGCTGATGCTAAGTGCTAATTCACAATCCTGCGTAGCTATAGTTAGCCAGCTATAGGTAGCATGTGCAGGCTTGTTAAGCTGCAGAGATGATTTTAGTCACAATGTCTGTGTACTGTGCCTCTAGTTTGTTCATTCAGAAAAGATTTGATATTGTTGTTGCAGGAGCTAACTGGCTAAATTGGATAGCAGTTGTTGAGCTATCTTAAGAAAGCTAGGGGAACTTGTGATTGGCTGAAAGGTGAGAGGCCGGTGACATCACTGTCATAAAAAAAAGATAAAACTGTATTTGAAAGAATGTCACTAAATAAAAACTTTAAAATAAATACTTTTGAACATGTCTGTCTATTATGAAATGGAAATTAACTCCAATAAAACAATACTTTCTGAAATTATTCCAAACAAATATTGTTTGATTCATAAACACAATTGATTCATGTAATTCTTTGTCATAATAACTTGTTATATTGAACACTTTGGGCTCCATACTTTTGGAAACTGAATTCATGAGTTAGTTTGAGTATTTAACATTAACATTAAACATTAAATGGCACCTTCAGGTCATACATTTCTCCTCATAACTATGCCATACAATCCACTTATAGATTCAGTCATATCCATATTTAATCATTGCATGCCTCCATTTTAACTCAAATTTTCCAAAGAAATAAAACATTTTTTATTTTTGATATAATGTAAATTTAATTTAGTTCAGAGCAGAAATAATAAAGATAGAAATGTGTATATACAGTGGGTAGGGAAAGTATTCAGACCCCTTTAAATTTTTCACTCTTTGTTTCATTGCAGCCATTTGCTAAAATCAAAAAAGTTCATTTTATTTCTCATTAATGTACACTCAGTACCCCATCTTGACAGAAAAAAACAGAAATGTAGAAATTTTTGCAATTTAGCTGTGTGCTTAGGGTCATTGTCTTGTTGGAAGGTGAACCTTTGGCCCAGTCTGAGGTCCAGAGCACTCTGGAAGAGGTTTTCTTCCAGGATATCTCTGTACTTGGCCGCATTCATCTTTCCTTCAATTGCAACCAGTCGTCCTGTCCCTGCAGCTGAAAAACACCGACATAGCATGATGCTGCCACCACCATGTTTCACTGTTGGGATTGTATTGGGCAGGTGATGAGCAGTGCCTGGTTTTCTCCACACATACCGCTTAGAATTAACGCCAAAAAGTTCAATCTTGGTCTCATCAGACCAGAGAATCTTATTTCTCATAGTCTGGAGTCCTTCATGTGTTTTTTGGCAAACTCTATGCGGGCTTTCATATGTCTTGCACTGAGGAGAGGCTTCCGTCGGGCCACTCTGCCATAAAGCCCCGACTGGTGGAGGGCTGCAGTGATAGTTGACTTTGTGGTACTTTCTCCCATCTCCCTACTGCATCTCTGGAGCTCAGCCACAGTGATCTTTGGGTTCTTCTTTACCTCTCTCACCAAGGCTCTTCTTCCACGATTGCTCAGTTTGGCTGGACGGCCAGGTCTAGGAAGAGTTCTGGTCGTCCCAAACTTCTTCCATTTAAGGATTATGGAGGCCACTGTGCTCTTAGGAACCTTGAGTGCTGCGGAAATTCTTTTGTAACCTTGGCCAGATCTGTGCCTTGCCACAATTCTGTCTCTGAGCTCCTTGGGCAGTTCCTTCGACCTCACGATTCTCATTTGCTCTGACATGCACTGTGAGCTGTAAGGTCTTATGTAGACAGGTGTGTGCCTTTCCTAATCAAGTCCAATCAGTTTAATTAAACACAGCTGGACTCCAATGAAGGAGTAGAACCATCTCAAGGAGGATCAGAAGAAATGGACAGCATGTGAGTTAAATATGAGTGTCACAGCAAAGGGTCTGAATACTTATGACCATGTGATATTTCAGTTTCTCTTTTTTAATAAATTTGCAAAAATTTCTACATTTCTGTTTTTTTCTGTCAAGATGGGGTGCTGAGTGTACATTAATGAGAAATAAAATGAACTTTTTTGATTTTAGCAAATGGCTGCAATGAAACAAAGAGTGAAAAATTTAAAGGGGTCTGAATACTTTCCGTACCCACTGTATACCTGAAAGTGAACAAATTAGAGTTATTTAAACAACTACAATTGCTCAGACTTCAGGTCAGACTCATGAGAAAAGCATAATTAGCCCACATTTCCTGTTCATTGATAAAACTGTGTGTTTATCCTGAGAATATCAAAATCCAAAATGTAAGGTGGCTGCAAACACATTGGTATCACATTACGCAACCTGTAAATATTATATTTGAAACCTAACCCAGACAAAGTTGAGTCGTCAATGTTGATGTGACTCTGGGATTATTATTATAGCACAAGTGTCATCAACAATATATGCCTTGAGAAATGAATAAAGATTTGCCTGGTGCAAAAAAATGTGAAGGAACTCTGCTGTTTCTACCACAAAAGTGACTGTTGTGTAGCTAACGGGCAATAGTGGGTCACAGCCGCAGTGTTAACAGACGTAATGCTGTGTGCGGCCACTAGAGGGCAGCCTTCGCGTGTGGAGAGGGGAGGGCAGAAGGAAAAGCTATTTAAATACCATGTTTTGACATATACATTCTTATCGTTTGACCCAGTGATGTTTTGAATTGTCCATGGTGACTAAAGGGGATTACACTGCCCATCTAATGCTTTGCATGTATGTAGCTGTCGGTTCTCGGTCACATTTACGCCCCAGAGAGCGCGTGAGTTTTTAAAAGGTAAAGAAGGGAAGGAACGAACAAGTTGACGGTATGGCCATTTTGCCGGAGGCAGAGATAGACACAGAATGGTTGCTCCATGCCAAAATGTGTGTGTTTGTGTGTGTGTTTAACTGTTAGGGCAAATAACACTTAAAGAAAGCGTGACAAGATTGGACAGGTGTTGTAAATTAGCATTTCGCTACAAACACTTCATATGTCCATATCAAATAAAATAAACACAACATTACATATTTTTATGTTGCATTGAGTCTTTTTTCTGTACTTAAATTAATGTAAATGTAGTTTTACTTAACTGTTACATACTTGCTTACTGTGAATAAGAAAGGGGAACACAGACTGTTGAAGCTGTGCGTATGACATGAGTTTATTCTGTAAAGGATAATTGACTATATTTTGGGGTTAGGGTATGTAAATCTGAATGACAAATGGCACAAAGAAACAGTTAGAATGTCTTTGGTCACAAGGACAGTTTGTCGTCACGAGTCAATTTGGAGGCAAAGGTGCATTCGCTGATGAAGTTATTTACTTTTTATGGACAAGTTATATGTTTTGAATGTGTGAAGGCCTTTTGTTGCACAACTGAGTGTTTTAGAAATCGGGCTTGAGCAACTGTGACACACATTTTGTATTTCTAGCTGTTGAAATTGTGGCCTATTCTAAAACCACTAATACTGACTGAACAAACATCGATTAATACTGCGCAGAGATAAAAGAAAGACATTATTTATCCTGTTGTTGCAGGATGCGAGAGGTTAGTAAAACAGCCAAAGGATGGAGTCATTACATAACTGAAACACAGTCCTGAGTTATCACAGGTGACTCATGGAGGAAACAGTGAAAATGGCCTCTGGTCTGCAGCTCAGTCTCCAGCTTTCTTTAAATAAGTAGATAAAACACACACTCTGTCTGCCATAAGCATGAATTATTTTATTTAAAAAAACACTGAAAATACAGCTCATTTTTTACATGTCAGCGATATGTACAGAATATAAAACAAAGGGAAAGAAATGCTGTTAATGAGATGGAGAGATGATAGAATTGATGTTTGAAAGGCACAAGGGCTGAGTATGAAGAGCTCTGTGTGACGCACGTCACTGCCACAAAACCCTTTAATGATATCGCTGGCAGGCAGAGCTCATAATTCCGGTATTTGAATTGTCCCAAATGCAGCTGGGCCTTTTGTTTGACCGACCCACGTGTGTTTCTCAGGCAGAAAGATGCTTCTTTAGGCACCAGTCTATTGATTCAAGTCCTCTCGAATCTAGAAACTTGAGAAACATCTTTGAGCATCGACAGAAACGCTTCAACATCCAGCGGGACAATTTTTATCTAAAAAAGGGCTCAATTTGTATATTGTGGATTTCAGTAGCTTTAGGTGTCAAATGAAACACCTACCAATGTAATTTACAAAAAACATCTCTGAACAAATTATACTCAAAGTCATATGTTAAAGAAAGTGTTTGTATAATTTACAGCATTATACAAATAGAGATACATCCTCAAACAAATACTGTACATTCTACAGTAAAGCTCTATGCTCGAACAATAAACATACTATAAACAATAAGTTATATCGACTCTACAAGGTTGGGGTAAAAACAGTTTCTTTCATATTTCACAATTTAGAGACCAACTGTTAGTGGTCAGTCTTTGTTTCTAAAGACAAGTTCATTTGGTCGAAAGGATTAAATCATTTGACGCAAGACATGTAAAAACAAGAAGAGACCAAAAAAGCAAACTAAAAACTGTACATGTAACAATTAAAATACATTAACATCTAAAAATGATATTAAACCGATTGCAACCGATATGACACAACAGCAACCTGTCCCTAACAAACAATACTCAAACGAATATTAACGGTTCTATCAGTAGAAGTAAATAAAGTAGTAAACACAAAGTACAGTTGAATACAATAAAAGTAAAAGTGAACTCAACAGACAAAGCCGCCAAGAACAAGTTTCAATTGAAACTAAACAAGAACCTTTGTGAGTCTTTTCACAAGAAAGTAAAAACAAAAAGGTGATTAAGTTGATGAAAGACGGTCAGAAACAGATCCACAGCTCCCAGATCAGTCGGAGGTGGACAGATTATATGAACTGAAGTTCTTAATGCTCGTCAGGGATAACTTAATGTCATCAATGTGCGTGTTGAGTGCAAATCTCATCAACCTCCTCAGATCTGCCAAAAATAGCTCGATACAGCCGCGCAAAGAATATGAAACAGACGGGTGCAAAGTGTGTAAATGATCTGGAATCATCTAATTAACTAGATGGGTTTTATTAAAATTCATAGCTATGTTTTGGAGAAAAATCATATTCAACCAAATATGGGTAAATCCTATGACTCTTGCAGTTCATTTCTGTTAAAAGCCTTTTTAAAAACATTTTAGTTATTTGGTTTAGTTTGGAACAAAGGCCACAAAATACCATTTCAACGCGTCTATAAGCAAGAACAAAATTGAATAATTTACAATAAGCGACATCCCATTTTAAAACAGGGTGCTGTGTACAGCGACTGTGTGTGGCTGTTGTCTGGGGGCAGAGGGGCAGAAGTGCGATCTGTAATGTTCTCCGGCCTCCGATACCGAACCGAACGGTGCAGATGACATCAGCGTCGTCTCTGTGCTACTGACCCGACAAGCAACAGCCTCTGCGTCCTTTTACTCACAAACAAACTAGACACGCCAACTACTGAAGGCCCTGTCACTTTGCGGTGGCTTGTGCTTACTGAGGTCTAAGCTGATTGATTCAAGTGTCGATCATAAGGTAAGTGCTAATCTTTAGTGATGCACATAGTAGTTATCTGCCCCTAGTGGCTCCACACGCAGCCACCAACAAACGGAGAGGAAGCAAAGACGAGAACAGTTAAAAGTCTAACATTCTTCAAGATGACGGAAACCAGATTGGATGAGGAGACCCGCGGAACTCTTTGTTAGTTAGGTCTATTCGTAGCATGTGTTAGAGGCAGGTGAAGATCTCCCAGAGGGCTACGGCTAAGTACAGACAAGACAGACAGATTGAAACAGAAGCATGGGCCAGAGAGCGGCTCTCTCACAGTGTCCAGCCATCAAGTTAATCAGCCCCCAGACCAGAGGTAAGATGTGTGTGTGTTGCCTCGCCTCCCTTTTAAACCCAGGGCTGCGTTCCGAGCCGCCTACATTGCAGCATTTGGCCGCTAGTTCAACCAGACTGCCAAAAATGAGTGCAGATGCTGCGGCAACCCTCCCCCAGGTCTACGTCCGCGTGCATCAGGGGCTGCTGCCTGCTTCCATGTCGCTGTCGTCCGCAGCGCCAGTGTAAATCGGGCCCTTGGTCTGCAGCGCGGGCTCGTATTTACGTGGGGAGGACCTTTTGGCAGCTTCACTGCTGTTCTTCATGCCATAGAGGAAGTAGATGGCGAAACCTGGGAGGGAAGGAGAGAGGCAATGGGAAGTTACAAAACGCTAACACGAGTGTGTGTATGTGTGTGTGTGTGGTACTAGAAAGGAGTACACGATTAGTAATGTTCCAATGTACCAATAAGCATCCACACAGCGAAGCGGCACCATGTCCCCCGGTCCAGCTGCATCATGAGGTAGATGTTGACGAAAACGCTGAACAGGGGCAACGCGGGAAGCAGAGGGACCTAGAGGAATGGATGATGTGGGAAAAGGTCAGCACAGCTATTATAATAACAATAATAATGCCAAAACAGAGAAATCTCTTTTCTGTAACACAAAGGGTCTGTTTGCAGGGTTTGATCGGCCTTACCTTGAAGGTGAGAGCCTCTTTGCTCTCAGGCTGCCTGCAGATGATGACAAAACAGACGATGCAGAGCAGGGTCAAGATGACGCATGGCACCACGACGGCCGCGTGCCCGGCCAGCAGCTCTTTGAGACAGTTGGCGAGGATAACGCACAGTACCGTCATAAAAAGTGCTGCGGAGAGACGAGAAGGAGACAAAGTTACTTAGAGACGCAAATTTGTCTTCTCGATCAGCTCACAAGAGTCACCAACGATCTTTAGATTCCTGCCAGACACACTTACAAATAATAGCCGTGGTGGCGTAGACGATGTTCCCGGAGATCTTCGTTGGGATCTTTCCACTCGGGCAGAAGAGCAGCTTGGCGGTGAAGGTCTCGCGGAGCGGCTTCTCCTCCGTCTCCATGCCGTACTCGTCGCCACTGTCCCCTCCACTTACAGCCACCTTCTCCCCCTCCACCAGCTCCACAAGCTTCTCCGTCTGGCTGGAGGAACTCAGGGTGCCTGGCTGGTACCTGCGGCGGGACAGGAAGTGTGTCACAGTGAGTGAAAAAAACAGGGAAACTAGAAATATTGGCACACAAACAGGGGCTTTCATCGAATGTATGGTCATTCTCCAAAGCCAGTATGAGATTGTTTTATCTGTACCCACATAAACTGGCTTTATGGCTACCAGCACCTAGAGAATATTCAACACATGATTACAACTTCAAGAGTATGCTTGCAGGGAATAACAAAGGTCCTTACCTGAGGATGAGGACACAGATGGCCACTAAAGAGTACGCCAACAGAGTTCCAATGGACATGAGGTCGACCAGAGCTGCCAGGTCGAACAGGAAGGCCATCAGAGCTGGAAGGAGAACATTTACACTGTTACACATCTCTGTAAAGTCAGATAGAGGAACAAAGAACTACTTCACTGGCTCAGATTAAATGTACAAAACCAGCATCTGTCATTTACAGTTTTAAGAGGCAGTGAGCTTACCTGCAACAATGCCAGACGCAATGGTAGCCAGGAGAGGAGTCTTGGTGCGAGGGTTCATCCTGGACAGAATACGGAACAGCAGCCCATCCTCCGCCATGGCATAGATAACACGGGGCATGGGGAACATAGAGCCGAGGAGGCTGAGAGAAGGTCAATAGTTAGTACTGGACGTAGAGATTTAAAAAGACACACTGGGAAAGCAAGAGTACAATTTCCCTCCTTACCTGGTGGACAGGGCGCAGAGAGAGCCCACAGCCACGATGTATCTGGCTGGAGACCAGCCGACGTAAGTGAAGGCCTCGGGCAGAGGACTCTGGATGTCCAACTGGTAGTACGGCATCATGAGGGTTAGAGCGGCAGACACACCAAAGTAGGCGAAAAAACAGATCAGCAGCGAGGCGACGATGCCAATGGGAATGGAACGCATGGGGTTCTTTGCTTCTTCGCCTGAAGACGACAAAACAAAAAGAGGGATGAGTTGATAAGAAGCGTTCACATGAAACAAGGCGAACACACCGACCAATCGTGTTTTTGTATGCTGCTTGGCAAGCACGTAAATGCGTTGCAGTCTTCACAGCACCCGAACAACACTTGAAGGTCTAGACGCAGTAGGTGGAACACGTTACATAACAACCGTTTTAATACAGGCAACAGGTGTTGCGTCAGCCCAGCGCTGTTCACAGATGATGTGGAAACAAATCCCAGATGTTCTTATGCAACACTGAATGAAAACACATCATCAGAAGCGGTTCCCCCTCATGTCTGGACGATACTAACTTCCCAAAGCATGGGAAGCAACTCGAGATACGTCTTCACATTGCCTACGATGTAATTATGAAAAACCACTCACTTGTTGTGGCGATGCAGTCAAAGCCCACGAAGGCGTAGAAGCAGGTGGCAGCACCAGACAGGACTCCATTCAAGCCAAACGGAGCGAAGCCACCCATGCCGAATTCCTTCTCGACTCTGAGTGACGAGAGACACTTGGCAATCAAACACGGGGCGAAAACAGCGAAACGATGAGTTCCATTTGCTGGCGGCAGTGAAATACTCACTTCGGAAGCCTGCTGCTGTTGGTGCTGTTTATGAAGCTGATGTAGTCTTCCTCCGTCAGGTTCCAGTTGGTCGAGTCCCCCTTAACAAAGCCAGAGATGATCACGAAGCCCAGAACCACCAGATTGATGCCTGTGAAGATCTTATTCACCAGCGCCGATTCGTTCACGCCGAAGGCCAGAAGTCCTGAGGACGGAGAGGAGAGGGCGGTAACCGAGAGTTCACATTTCAGACCAAGAACAACATGTCCTGCTATGTGGGTGGATGTGTTCGTACTTCATAGCGTCAAATAAACCATGAGTCAGCGACACCAATTAACCAGTTATTTGTTTTTCTAACACGGCTACTGGCAGGCCACACGCTGCAATGTTGGTGTGACCAGGGGTGCACTCACCAGAGAGCAGCAGGACCAGGATGAGGGCGAACAGGTCCGGGTACTCTGCCAGCACATTCCCTGGCACCTTCATCGTCATGGAGGCTTTAAAGAAGCCAGAAATCTTTTGTTCGACCAAGCTGTCAAACGTCGAGCTCCATGCCCTGGCAACACTGGCCGTACCTTTTAAAAGAAAAGAAAGGCAATTATTTAAGTCAACAAGGTAGTGATTAAAACAGGAAAATAATTCCACCACAGCTGAAGAAAAGCTCACCTATCACATAGGAGAGGATGAGGTTCCACCCAGTGATGAAGGCCCAGATTTCTCCGACTGTCACGTAGCTGTAAAGGTACGCCGAGCCCGTTTTGGGGACTCGGGCGCCAAATTCAGCGTAGCACAGGCCGGCCAACATGGAGGACAGAGCGGCGATGAGGAAGCAGAGGACAATAGCCGGACCTGCCTTTTCGCGGGCGACCTCGCCGGCGAGGACGTAAACGCCGGCGCCGAGCGTGGAGCCCACGCCCAAGGCAATGAGGTCCAGCGTGGACAGGCAGCGGGCGAACCGGGTCTCTACACAAGAGCAGTCTAGGGCCCGGCGGCGCAGCAGGGTTTTGCCAAAGTTGGCCAGCTTGGAGGCCATATTTGCTGTGACTGTGTGTGTGGGCGCTGAACCGGGCTGTGTTTTAAATCCTTCTAGTGTGGGTGTGTGTGCGATTGACACAGCTCAGACTGAACACGTGTGACTGATCTGTGCGTAGCAGGACTTTGGGCAGATGGGTAGTTAAAGCAAGTTGCTTATTGATCCTTCAGTGGAGGTGGGAAGACTTGGGCAACAGTCACTCGAGCACGCAGAACAAGAAGCAGCAGGTCTGTAGTTACAGTGTTTTGCAGCAGCAGATTAGGACCTGGGAGAAAACACAAGAAAACAGGAGCTCAAAACAGGGAACTATTCAGTCAGTGCCAAGGCTTACATTTCACACAGATCTCCGTGTGCCGTGCAGCGGGATTATCGTGTCGTTTCTTCCAGGAAAAGTGTTCAAACAAACACAAGCGCTCAAAGATTGTCATCTCGACCTGGTCTCTCCAACCTGGGCTGTACAAATCAACTTCACAACATCGTAGAGTAGGTTTACTTAAGTGTGACACCACACACTGTGCCTGAGTGAGTTTAGGTGCATTTCAAGTGAACCCAGGTAGCACCAGCGATGCTGGAAACTTTACTGGAATATTCTTCTCCTCTTCCACAAAAAAGGGGAATCGGCAGGTTAGGTGAGACAACAAACAACACACGTTTCACTACACGAGAACCTGTATAAATACCAGTTACGCAACTTCCAGGAATTCCAACCTCCACCTCTAACCGCAACATGAGACAAGGTAGAGCATAGAAATGATCTCATGGAGACAAAAGAAAACCTCATCCCATGCTACTTCATTTCGCCTCAACAAATAAACCTGCCGTAGTACGCGCCCATATAAAAACACATGAACACCAATTCCTCAGCACTCCCTGCACTATGAGAAAGAGCACTTTACTACGTGTGTTGTTTCAACAGACGGACACCGACGGGGAGAAGCCTGGGAAAGCCGGAGGCTGTGAAGCAATGATATGGTTGAATTCTGCAAGCTAATATCAACAAGGGAGAGGAGGACAGCGTGCACCAGCAGCTCGATAAGGTGAACCAGCTGCACTGGGAGGCGGTACAGATAAAAAAATACACTGCATCTATAAAGACTGACCCCGTTTATAAAGCCACAAGGAAGGTTGTTTCAGAGCGTTGTTCGGGCCCATTCCACCTGCTTCGTTAACAGGTTATCCGTTCTACTAATTGGGCCAAACTTGCAGGAATAACCAACGCCGCTGCCGGGATAATTGGTCTCCACACACCCGACCTAGCAGAGCTCAACAATAAGGCCGCTAACCTCGATAAAACAGGATTTCACACACCGACTCAGCCTCACCGCCCGGGTGCAGGTTCAGAGCACCTGATCCTAAAGAGGCCTCGCCGATGATGCACTTGGGAGTAATAGTAGTCACCGTTCCTTAATCGTAATGCAGTGCACAGTTGTTATTGATCATTGTCGCATTGCGTCATCAGTGATTTAAAGAAAAACAACTGATAAAATGATCCTCAAGGACGACGGCAGCACATTTCACGTCAGTAGTAAGAGCATGTCGAGTTCATTACAGGGTGAATGATAATGATTGCACCTAAACACACCAAGAGCAGCTCATAACAGGCCAAGGACAGCAGAGCACGTCTGACAGAGCAATGTTTTTCTTTGGATGTCGATAGGCTCAGCGATATTCAACTAACTCGCACTGCGTATTACGGTTAAAATTGACATACTATCGAAGTTTGACTTTGTAGAGGTTATACGGAAAGTTTTTATCGGTAAATATTATTGCGTGATATGTGCTGTGGAGAAAAATGCTGGCGTTTAAAAACAGGTTCCACCTGTTGGTTCACTCCACCTTGATTCGACAAAGTCCTCCTTCAGGCAGCTGCTCCTGCTGAGGGACTCATTGAGATTAAACACAAATGTAAATACTTTATACACTCCTAATTTCAGAAAGCAGGAGCCATGTTGGCTCATTTTTTATGGAGGGAGGTGTAATTTTGCAGGGTTAAAAATGTCACACAATAAAGTTGACTTTATAAATGTTGGACTACCGATCAATCAAATCTCTCAAAGAGGAGTTTCAGCTGTTGCTCTTGAGATATTTGACAATGCTTATATACATAGCAGAAATAACATGGCTCGTCTGGTTATGCCACCATAGAGCTGTGTTGTTGTTTGTCAAAAGGTGGCGTTCAAAACAAAGCCATGTGTTCTGTATTGCAATAGACAGAGGAGCAGCAACGAGCTGTAATGAGGTAAGCAGGTTTGTTTCTTCTCCAGATAATCCTCTTAGAGAGACTGTGGCAGCAGTTGCAGCAATGCTAAGTCAAGAAACAGGACCATTATCCCAGAAGCCTGCTGTAACCGGAGCACGACTGGCCCGAGTCGTTGGTCATAGTCCTCCAACATGAAGAGCCTTTTAGTTTGTTCCATTTTAAGATAAAATGGAACAAACTCTGGTTGTGGGTTTGCAGAAGAAACTAACCAAAAATACAACACTGTTTACAATTTATTACCGAGACTGTGGTGGCCCGCCAAAGTCTATTTTGTCCCGCCATGGTTTCAGAATGAATCACACATATTTTTTCACTTCTCAACGGGTCCGCTGGCTGGTGCGCAGCGACCATCTCTAGTTTGGCGCGGAAAAGTGACTCGTGGTTCCGGCCATGTCACCATAACAGCTACCCTCGTATTTGAACCGCAAATTCAGCAACCCACCCGACCCATGACTCTTTTGCTGTGTTAACCATTAATATGTATACAACCAATGTGTTAATGATTCAGTTATTTACTAGAACACAGTGCAAAAATACTTAGTTACTAGTAAAAAGTCCTGCAGTCTAAATTTTACTTTCACTAAGTACAAAAGTACAAAAGTATTGGTTTCAAAATATGTTGACAGTAAACGAAAAAATACACACATTATGCAGAATGGCCCATTTTAAATAATATATGCACGGCAGGCCTATATCATTGGATTACAATTATTGACGTATTAATGTGTTCATCACTTTAATGTTTGTGCTGGTAAAGGTGGAGCAAATTTCTAAGACTTTATATACTCAATTACTTTATATAATTAGGCTGTATATACTATTTAGTAGCACATCATAGTTAATTAGTTGATTTATGTTTTGTATTAAGAATCTGAATCTGCAAAGTAGCCTAACTAGTAACTAATATTGTCAAATAAATGTACAAAGTACAACATTCCCCTCTTAAGTACTTCAGTAAACTAAATGTACTTGGTTACACTCTACAACCAGAGAGTAACATAAATCAAGGAACTGAAAGCGGCTGCTGCAGGTAACACGCTATTCTTTTCATGTGGGCTGTTACAGAGCTCACAGGCGGCACATTGGTGAGACACAACGCAGTGCAAACTGGCATACAGTAAAATCGGCCCCACTTACACAAACGGGCACCCGCGTGAAAACCACGAGGAAAAGATTAGAAACTAACTGATGCGAACGAGGCATCGACCCGGGCAGAGGGGGCTCGAGCATCGCTTTAATGAGACCACCCTTAGGGAGGTCTGCACTTTTTTAAAACTTTGAGGCGTCGGCAGACGTGGAAGAAAATCTCACTGTGAAAGCAAAATACAAAGACATTTCCCAATGAATGATATTCTTTTCTTTCTTTTTTACTTGAATTTCTCCCAATATGTTTTCACAGCTTCACAGTTTCAGTGAAGCATTTTTGTCCCGCTTGGTAAAAAGGTGTGGACGCCGTGGGTTCGAACCCCCCGAGGAGATCACAGCCAGCCGGGCACAGTAGTTCAGTAACAAATGTTTACTGACATAACATTGACCCTCTCAGATCTCACTTCCTGGTGTGTGAGTGGAAAATGCTACTGGAATGTCACACCACGTGGAGCAGGAGAAAATCCACCGTGTACCAGTTTCCCATCAGTCTTCAGAGGGCTGAATGTTTATTGTTGGCTGCTCTCGGTGTTGTTTGCATTTCATTGTTTGACAGTATTTCTCTCAACACTTAACTGTACTCGGCAGGATATTCTCTTTTGAAATGGTACGACTAGAGGAGCTTTGATAAAGACGTTATGTTGATTTTACGGTATTAATAGAATATTGCCATTGTACTGAAACATTGCGAGAGCTTTTATCCTGTGTGCTGTGAGAAAGAACAGGCCAAAATTAGACCACAACATGATCTACAGCTAAAAGGCTTTTTTTCCTTCTTCTGCCGTCTTTTTTAAAACTGTCCAACATACCGTGTGACCCGAAACTTCGCACAAACTGAGGAGCAAGCATGTTCTGCCTGAAGCACTTTAAACCTTGGTTTTTAACAGGACACGGGGTATGAAAAAACTTGATAGCACGACAAAAATAGACGATGAGGAAGGCTTTAGTCACTCTTTCACCCCCCCGCCAAATCTTAGATTCACACATTTAATAAGTGTGAGAATGCATTTCGGCCTAACCTCTGATCCACAGCCACACTCGCCCTGTTCCAGACAGTCGGCCTGGTCTCTGTTTCTGGATCAGTGTTTCACTTCTTCTCTTTACTGCCTGTCCGGGTGGAGTGACGGATGGGCCCGATACGTCCATCCGCCTCCTCAGCACTCAAACCTAGTTATCGGGTATCACTGCACTAATAGCGACAGACTCAGAAGCTCCTCCGCTGCACACCATTTATGGATGAAAATAAGAGATGTGTGGTGTTTTTTTGTTTGTTTTTTAATTGCTTTGAATTAGAATAATCTCAAGTACCTGTTAGATCCTGCTCTGAGTATATAGTAGATTTCCTCTTTCCAGGACAGTGGAGTTCCTCTATGAGGTAAACTTAAGCAACTTAACCATTGTCATGGTGCATCTTTATCAAATTATTAATAGTTAGTCATGTCAGTGGTAGTTGTAGTCAAAGTGTAGTATTTGCAGATAAGATAAACACGAATAATGTTCCTGGTGACAACACAACTGTCCGTTAATTTGTGGGGCCAGCAGCTGAACATCCACAGAAAGAGGTGAATGTGAACTTGTGTAACCCTGGAAGGTACGTCTGCAACACGACGGGCTGCAGAGAGTCAGGGACCCGTTCTCAGGCACCTCACGCACACACAGACAGACCAACAATGGTGTTCCAGGCGTTTAGAGCCAGGAATGTGTTTGCACGAGACACACTTTAGGTTCACATTAAAGCTGTATGTGTTTTTGTTAATGTGTGTGTGTGTAAACTAAAGTAACTGTGGACAACAGTGAGACCGAACTGAACGACCCTTAAAGTCACCTGGCTGAAAAAGCACTCCTGCCAAAAGCACTGCTGTGCGCTGTGAGATGGAATGTGATAAACTACGGATCTGTTCTCTTTCCCATGCCGACCGATGTCAGAAGCATTAACATCAAAGGCCACGAGAGCATAAGTAACCGACTCTTTCAAAGAGAGGATAATCAGCTGGACGTCTAAGAATGCCAAGATATGTCTTCTAAACTACGCAGGTCAGAAAAGATTAAGCCACGTATGCAGACAAACGTGACAGCCGTGCTCCGTGTAATTGTTCCCTCCCAGCATTTAATTATGCTGCGACTAGTTAGAAACAGTCTGCCACATTTCCCAGCCTCAACCACAATAAACATGCATTTTGAAAAATCTGCCAATTTGTCAAGTCGAAATCTTGACTTGATGATGATTGAACTTAAGGAATGATCACCCATAAACGGACCACACTCCCACTCCCTGATCCCAAGAGGTAGTTTGTTTAAGAGGATGCAACAACTGCAGTGTAACAGGCCTCCTCCTACACATCACACATTGTGAAAGACACCCACCATTAATCCTGGTTATTCGTATGTCTGGCTAACAGAAAAGCTCAACAGGGTGCAACAGTTACAGTGCAATAAACAGTTGGTAAATATACCTCTCAGTTTAATGCAACACAATGCAAACGCACTAAAATTACCATATTGGATCGATACCTCTTGGAAAATAAAATGACATCCTTCAAGGTGGGATGTTTGTGTTATGAGTTGGACTGCATACTTGTCTTTTTACAAGGTGTACCTAAGATGTTACGCCATAATACATTCCTAAAAACAATCAGACATGTTTTAACTGGTTAAAAAAATGAAAATGCCCTGGTAACTCTGGGGCTGTTACCTGTCAATAACACACAAATTAACATTAATTTGACAATAATAAAGAAATTAACAATCAATAGCAACAGCATGGACAAGGAATGACCATAAAACCTGACCATATCAGCCTTTCTTTTGGCTTTTAAGAGGTTTGTCCTTTACTGTACTGAGCTGGAACTACCGAAGTGTAAATTTAGCCTAGATTACAATAAATAAATAAAAAATGAAGGTGACATGTGGCTACCTGGTTAGTCCGACAACGTCTCCACTCCCACTAATCCACCTGACCACCGCTAATCAGGTCGGGATCACGTTATACACCCAGACGCTCTAGTCTTGTGTTTACTAACACAGTAATAACGCCACCTTTTAAATCAATGGAGTGGCATCAAATCGGCTGATGCAACCTACGCATGGTTAACACCCAGGACACAGACGATGGGCTAGTGAACTTTACCCGGAAGGGGGACGCACTGTGACGACAATCGACAATTTGTGGTATCAAGGCAACTATAGGTGCTAAATTAATTTACACTTAAACTAACCTTATTTATGGACAGTGTCAGATATACTAGGCGATGTTCAGCTGTCCATCTGTCAGGGAAGAAGACACCAGCTAGCTACGTGGCTCTGCTCGGTTCTCGCGTGGTGGATATGTTGCCTTCGTAGAATGTGTTGCCCAATGTACACACAGACCTGGTGCTTATAGAGTTTGTCTGGTACAACGGGTTATAGCGGACGTGGATATCAGACCATTAACGTTAGTTGGTCAATGTTGTACCAGCATTCAGAGTTATATATTTTAATACAGGGTCTGTTTTGTTTAGCGATAATTCTGGGAATTGGTAGAAATTCGGGGGTCTGTGAACGCAGCACTACGGTCACCCACGCCCTACTCCCGGGGCGAGTTATCCATCTAGGACCACCAGGACCACAACATTGAATGGAAATACGGAAACGTGTCGAGCAGTTTGTTTGAATTCTATTTTTTTTAAGTTGCAACGTGTCCCCTCGCAAAGGTCACCTCATCAAAGGTCTACTTTCTACTCTATTGTGGTTTCCCGTGCGCGCGTGCGACTGACTGATTCCCCGCTTAAATGACAAATGTATGCCACCTCAAAAATAAAACGACAACTACTGTGGATTAACTGAAAACGTGTGTAAAACCCGCTCGGATTGTGCGGCACGTTGTGTTCATTGTAAACATTAGTACAACTGATAACACGGGAGGGAGGATTGCATCAGACCACCCACACGTCCTCGTACATCAAACGGTCGGATAAAATGTCATCGCAAGACGACTTTTATAATAAACAATAAAATGTTGAATGGTATGAATGAAAGGTGATGAAGGGCATTACCTTTAATGTCTTCTGTGTGACAGCGGTGAAAAGAAGTGTGAGCGTGCTCGCTGATGAAATATCCCGCTCTGTTGAGCGTGTGCGTGCTTTTGATCCGCCGCGAGGGGCGTGGCGTGTACTAACAAACTGACGCAACTGGGAGGCGGAGTTTTCCACTGTTGAATACAGAGGTAAGAATTTCTGAATATACAAATATTTACTTTTCAGATAAAGGTGCAGTGCTCTGGTATACATACGCAAGCTTGAACGACAAAGCAAATAAGTAAAACAAGTGTTTAAGATACAGAAAGTACACGCGAGAGAGAGAGAGAGAGAGAGAGAGAGTGTGAGAGTTTGTGTGTGTGTGTCTGTGTGTGTGTGTGTGTGTGCGCGTGCTTTTCAGTAGTAGGAATGCCCATAAATGGAACCCCCGCGTCAGCGTCCTCCCCCTCTGAGAGCTATGTACAGACCCTGGCTCTCCACTCTCTCCACTATATCCGCTGTTGCTTTGTTCTACAGATTAAAATAAAAGGAGGGAAACTCAAACTATTTATTTCATGTGCATTTGCACTTAGTGACCTGGGAATGTTGAAGGGTCAGTGGTGGCGTCAAAAACACAAACTTTACACATGTTATTCTCGTGTCACTCTCTGACTGAAGCATCATACAAAATGTCATCTCGGAATCTGCCCTGTGTATGAGGACATGCTGTGACATCATGCATGTAAATGAGGGGGAACAAAAACTTACTTCACAATAATGTGGTCCGATGCAACAAGAGCTCTATGTGGCATCAGGGTTGAATTAGTATTTGTCAATGTCAACAAAATGTTTTGTTGAAAACTGTTAAGTTTTTCGTTTAGATATGTATTTTTTAAATCTAGCCTATACTCTCGCTGGTTTCTCCAATGCTACCTACCCACGCTTTCATACAAAATACATCATCACAGTTTTTTTTATCAAGCCAACCTAAAACATTGTGGATAAGACAATCTCACCACAAGGTACATTTAGTTTACAGTATTTGAAAGTGTCACATGAACATGTAACTGTTCCAATTTCCATTTTTACTTTGAGGAGGCTTTCTATTGCTCCTCTGTAAAAGTTGACAAGAACTTGGTACAGGAATTTTGCCTTCTTAAGTGTCCTTAAGAATTCTTCACCAGGATGGAGATGTGTGAGGACCAGGCCAGGTTGTTTGTGGTGCTGATTCCCAGGAACTTAAAGCTGCTAACTTGCTTCACCTCTTCGCCTCCTTTTTTTCTAAAATCAACAATCAGCTCCTTGGTTTTACTGACGCTGAGCAGAAGGTGGTTTTCTGAACACTCTACCAAAAACAAAATCCATAATAGTTCGATACATTTCAAGATCCAGCCTTGGGGTGCCCTGGATAGATGCATACAAGACGGGTAATAAAACGGAACTGACGGTTAAAGTTGTAGACCGTGAGCTAATACGGTGCTTTAGTGTTAGCATATTCTATTTGTAATACATCAAATTACCACAAAGCACCTGACACACAGTAAAAAGGGTCTTTGGGGCCTGTGTAAACCTAAACCTCAGGGCAGCTGCCCACTTCACTCCGTGAAGGAACACGTCATTTTGACAGTCGCTTGGAGGTTAATTGTACTTATGGCATGTTTACTTACTAAAATGACTTTATATCAGAAAGTAGTCAGCAGTGTGAAGTATCTAATAGAGTTTGTGCTGACAAAATAGCACTAAAAACAAAAATTAGGGGCCACGTTGACTTTTGGAATGAGAGAATCTGTGTGAATAAATTGCGTAGTCACGTACACACCAAGCCATTGAAATGCTGTCGTTCTTATACTGTTCAACTGTTGTTGGTTATTGTAAATTGTTTTCAGACTTACGTGTAAAGGTTTGGACTTCTCTTTCTCTATTGTTTCAGTTCCTGGGAAAGGCTGGATTTATTATTTTTCATGCTTTGGACCTATAACCTTACCTTAAACAAACAAACGAAAAGATTTGTGAATTGCATTTTCTCCCTGTCCGTCCATCGAACTCTGTCCGATGGCACTCTAGTAGCCGCATTCGTCTCCCCTTTTGTACTTGCCCAGTCACACTGCTTTGGGATGCTCTTTCAATTTACTTCCACTTCATCAAGCTAATCCAACTGGGTGTCTCTGCAAACACAACCGGCGTCATGGCTGCACCCTGGGCTCCAGTGTTAGAACCGCTAACTAAACACCCCCTAATCTCTGCCTTGGCCTACTGTGCCCGTCCTGTCTGACCACTTTCATTACACAGGACAAGGCCAGCACTTCAAAGCTCACTAGTTTTGTAGGTCACAGTTCTCTATCAAATTCCTTTTTCTACTTGTACTTCTGTCTACTCATACGCACGCACAAATGACATGCTTGCGTCATCCTTAACGAGGGATCCCTCCTCGGCTGCTCTTTCTAAAGGTTTCTCACCTTTTATTTCTTGACTGTAGGTTGGATGTAGGGCAGGGGTGTCAAACTCATACAACACAATTTCATCTCAAGTGAGCCGGGCAAGTAAAACATTTTAACCTATAAATAACAACGCCTCCTAATGTTTCCCTTTATGAAAACCACAATTAATGAACAATGTATTTACAAAAAAAGATGATGAACAGTCTCAGATGTCTCGCTGATCTCTTACCACTAAAACAGACTGCTGTTTCCTCAAACCTGCCAAAAATGTATTTATCTTCTCTGCTCTCACTTGTCCTTGCAAGTTCTTGTATTTTCCGCTATGATGAGTCTAGTGGCGCCGAACATTATATTCCTTGCACACTGAAAGGTGAACACGCCAAGCACACTGCTATTTTCCTCCACCGTTGGCTGCTGCGTGAACAGTAATCTACGCTTGACAGTGTTGTGTTACGTAGCCTGTAGGTAAACAGGTGGTATCTATAACAGCGTACAGGGCCTGACACTCTAATTATGACAGTGCGACCCCTAGTGGACAAATAGGAATGGCAGTGTTTTTATTTTATTTTTTATTTGGAATTAAGGACTTCTGTGTAATTTTCACACTTTGCAAAGTCATCCAGTATGTTTGATTTAGGGAGTCATATGCTGTACAGATGATAAAGCCCTCCAGATAAACCCCTGTGATTTTAGGGATGTGTAAATAAACCTGACTTCTCCCATTTTTTCTGACAGGGAACCCTGTGTAGTTTAGTGCAACACAGGTACCAAACTATATCAACAGTTTAATGTTGCTTTTTTTTCATTTTCATTGTGTCCAATGCCTTTTGATTACCTGCAGGTCAAGGTTTACATTACAAGATCATTCTGGGACAACTTTAATCCACCTGTGGGCAGAATTCCTCTTCCCCTGTTAATCCCTTTATTTCCTGAAGGCAAGCGACAACGAGAAAAAGATTAGAGGACTTTACAATCCATGTTTCGTGAAACAAAAAGACCCAGTGTTGCAACTGAAGAGCCTCAATCTCTACTTATGAGGCTTCCTTCCTACCACATATACTGTATTTCTTTAATTTACTGCACTAAGACTGTGCTCAGGTTATTGATATTTATTAGCCTTCCTTTGCCATATAGTAGGGCTATCTTTATTAGTGATTTATCTGCTGTTATTTTCAGTTTTGTCTATAAAATGCTAGGAATAGTAAAAAAATGCCTTTTTCCAGTCCCAAAGTGTCTTCAAATTAGTGATAAAAATAACAACTTTATTCATATAGGACCATATAAAATAAAGTTACACAGTGCTATACAATATAAATAAAATCTATAATATAAGATATAAAATTGCTTGTTTTATCTGACCAACAGTCCAAAACCCAAAGTTATTTAGTTTACAATTATTATTATCAAAATAGTCGCCAATAAAAGTTAACCTATAGTTTCAGCTCTTTATTACATAAAACCAGTTTCCAGTTGTTATGGTGCATTAAGATCCACGTTACCATATGTAGAGTAAAACAGATCTGTCACTGTATTACCACTTTATTAATGTGAGCTTTGGAGCAGCACATGACAAGATCCATTGAGATATGATTTAAAAAAAACTTTGATGGTTGAAAAAAAGTCTGAGGAGCGTATACTGGGACTTAATTGAATAGAACTTGGCTCGCTAACATGTTGGTCAGTGAAATAATGCATTGTGAATTAAAGAAATGTGACTTTTTATTTAAGTGAATTCTTGAGCAAATTTAGATATTGAATTAACCTGTTTTTAAATTACAAAAAAAGTCTAACCATTTGGTAGAACCTCTGGTTCAGTGGCTGTGAATAGCTGGTTTTCAATACATCTTCAGCACATGTTTTGTAGAGGGTGTTGTAGTTTTGCTTTTTGTCAAAGGTAGTGTTTAAAATGAATAAACAAGTTATGCTCGGAACGGCCGTGCATTTTTCCAAAGTGAAACATAACTAAATGTCACCACTCCAGTCATTTTCATACAGTCCCTTACTTACCAGTTCAAAAGTAAACACTACGGTTTGACAGTCTCAAACAATGAATCTTTGTGTACAGGCTGTAACATTTATGCCAAGAAAATCTTCCTCCAATATTTGTGCTCAAGCGTTTTCAACCTCATCATGTTCTTTTTCCATTTCATTGTTAAATTAGGTCATCTGCGGCTATTCATCCAGCTCCCATGATGCTCTCTGATCCGTCTCAGTGCTTCTCAGTGCGACACACTAATCTCAAACTGGAAGGTGAGTTTTACTGATTCTATTTCTCCTCTTTCAAACTCAAAAGACACATGTAGACATGAAGCAGCAGGGAATTTAATTGGAGGACAGAATTAACAAGGAAGTTCCTCGTCACCAATGGTGGAACTGCAATGATAACATGTATTAATACACCTCACAATAAAAAAGAAAAGAAAAAAGAGTGCAGAATAAAGCCTAAATGAAATAAATGCAGAATAAAGCCTTATTTCAGATCATTAAACCAGATGCTGATTATGCCTTTAAACAATGAAATATTGTTCATATAATGAACCTCTTGTCACAGTGCTTAGATATGGTTATTTACCCAACTTAACATTCCCAATAGCTGATTAGACAACACACAGCCAGAGTGTAGGCATGATGACGTAACAGCTGAGTTAAAACAATTAATCATGAAACAATCCTGTCTAAGAGCCTGTTCAGAACATACAACTCTAAATATTGACTGGACCGATGGTCACTGTCTGTCTCATGATGCTACATGTTGCTCGACTTTGGGAAGTTATCATCAAAATCACACCTCGGCTAGCAAAAGAAGACATTAATCAAAGCAGGAAATTACCCTCAATTTAAACTTGATCAAATCAATTTAAAAGACATTCAGAAAACATAATAATCAGTTGTAAAAAAGAAAGAAAGAAGCTATGACAAAAGTTTTATATGGAAACATGTTTTGTTTTTCACTGAATCAAAAAGAATGCACATACTGTATGTGGAATGACTGAATAAAGACACAACATCAAACAATTTATACATTGGATCTCTTAGTTTTGTCCAGGAGCAATAGTTTTTCCAACACCGTTGATACTTATCAGTTCTGACATTTCCACCAGCTATATAATGACGTGATGTCGAAATAAATGTACATGGGGCAGGTGCAGCAGTCTGTATTGTCTTTGCAATAAGAGAGAGAAAGAGACAGACATGAGAAATAATGATAGAGACATGTTCAAGCTTTTATGGATTTGGTCACTGCTGTGAATCTCAGAATCTACGGATGCACCGACGTAATGTAATGGCACAACATTATAATACTATTCACAGAGAAATAATATCACACTTGTCCGTGTCTGTAGAAACTGAATTAAGAGAATTAAAGATCTGAGTAAACAGACTCAACAATAAGATGGCGATCACAGGCATGTAAAGAAAATAATAAATTGCGGGTGACACTGAGACAAATATATTGCAAAGAAAGCGTGCAACTTTTGCCATGCAGTCAATGATTAGTGCGGTTGACAATGACATCGTATCAGGATTAGTTTGAGAAATGTTTCCCAAAGAGCTCTAGTCAATGGTGATGTACAGTACTTATAAACAATAGTTCACATAACTCAAAACTCTAGTAGTGGCCCGATACTGGTGGAGCGAGAAACTTCTGGAAGCCAGTTTTGAAGAAACAGCTGAATAACTCTAGTGCACTCATTACCAATTAAAAACGTTCAACTGCAAATGAGATTTTACGTTCATTTTCTTTCATGCTTGATAATGGGTGATGCAAAACTGGCTTGCAGAACATTCTTCCCTTTGCAGCTCAGAGTGACAGTTTGCAGTCAGACCTCTGTGATCATTGATATTTGGTTTTACAATTCCACTGAAGTATCTGTGAACTATCGCCTTTGGTCTTTACAGCGCCCATGCAGCCACCTTTAACCTCCAGAAAGCTCTTGAGACCGGATCAAATAAAGCAAACTTACTTCATTCATACCTATACAAAACAAAACAAAACAAAGAACAAAACAGGATCAAGATCTTTCATTTACAGGCTGCATGTATGTTGAACATTAGTATGCAATCATGAACATATGACGCTCATCAGGGAAAGACTGAATGTATCCAACATAACTTTTTAAGCGTGAAAATTGTGATTAAGCGCCAAGTCTTCAACAATACAATCCCTAATACTACGCGGGTGCTTTCCTTATGGTGCGCTTATAAAACAAATGCACAGCGGAGACTGTTTGAATCACTATCAACCTGATGTATAGTAGAAGAACATACTCTAACTCCAAGATAAAGTTAATATGACTTATACAAAGGAATACGCAGGGTGAGAGAAAGAGAGAGAGAGAGAGAGAGAGAGGGGCAGATAAAGCAGAAAGACAGAAAGGAGAGATTATAAGACAGTCTGATCCTTAACCCCCACCTCCCCCTTAGTAACCCTAGTGTCATACTTTTCCAGGAATGTAGTGGCGGTCAATGCCTTCATCTTGCAGAAACATGTGAAGACAGCGCTCGTTCTGGGCCAAGGGATGACCTGCAATTCTACAGAAATATACACACAGACGGACAATCCACAAAATGTACTTGTTTTAAGTGCTTTTCATGGAGACTGGTGAGATACAATGGTGGATTAGTTTGTTGACGCCCGAAGACGGATTAGGTTATATCTTGTGTTGGGCAATGACTGACTCTACTAATAATGACGTGTGGATTTCAGTTCAGGCCAACACATTTCGTGGCTGGAAATCTTACAGAATAACAGCTTTGAGACAAGCTTTACCAGATTTAATCATCCCATAAAGGCAATTCTTCAGGTGGCCGATACCTTTGATTGATTTACATCTGAGAACACAAAGTGTGTTAGTTGTAATTTAGGGCTGAACTTACTGACCTGTTGATGAACTGCTCCAGGCCCGATCGCCGCTCCTCAACGAAGGACTCGTCGAAAAGGCCCCCATCGCCGCGGAATGGCAACTGTCTCTTCAGGGCTTTGCCCGGCAGAGATGGTACTACAATCTGAAGGTGTCGGGGATCAGCACAAATAATAGGAAAGATGACAAATATGCACCAAAAAATATGAAATTCAAAAGTCCACACTCCCTGTGCTGTAAAGTCACAATTGCAGACAGTTACGTCAATATATTTCCAGCTGAGTAATAAACTTATTTGAGATGGCAATGCAGAAGCATGTAAACAAATAAAACCTACATCCTAATCCTACTCTTTACTTTAATCTAGAAAGGGAGTCTATTTTCCCACCTGCAACGTCAACATTGTCAGTTATTAGATCACTGTAACCATCAGTTTGCAACAGCCAGCCTGCTTAAATGATTAGACTGCAACACATAATTGCTCACTCACCTTACTGTCTCTTTCCAGCTCAATCTTTAACCACTCAAAGTCACTGTATCTTCTTCTCACACAGGATTCCTTCAGTTTGAAAATGGGAAGGTTTGTCTGCACAGAGAAGTAGAATTAGAGGACAAAAAACAACCCTAGATTTATTAAATTAAATTATTTGGACCATGTCTGCAACTATCATGAGAGCTGGGAGGCATGAACACCATAATTAGACTTAATTAATGGCATGAAAGCAAACGAGACTAGTTCGCTAGTTTGACTTGACAAAGCAGTTCATTCTCTATGTATACCTCTACAGTTGAATCTGGTGCTGCAACATATGTTTAATAATCATTATAGATTACTTTATGGGCAATTGATAAAACATTTCGTTAAACCAAATGTGAGCAAATAGTGAGAAATGTCAAATTCAGAGAGCAAATTGTTATGTCCTATCAACAGTGTAAACCCCAAAGAAAATCAAATTACAATAATTTAAAGAAAGAGAAAAAAGCTACAAATCCTCACACTGGAGCAGCAAATGGTTATCAAATATCAAAATAATTAATTTTAACACTAGTTTTATCTGTACTCAGTGGAAGTTTCAAATAAATGGCTTGTGCACAAAACGTTAAGGTGATTTTTAACCTTGTTTCATGTGTTTATTTGAAATATAATTAAAGATGCCCGCCAAGCAAACCTGTTTCAATAAAACGCGGAAAAGTTTACAGTTCGATTGCAAAGGCAGATTGTGTGTGCAACTCATTCATTTACAGTATGTCTCAATGCTTCCGTGGTAATTGAGTACATATTTTGCCTGACTCACATGATTCACTGCTGTAGACAGTCTGTTGTCTGAGTGGAGTGTGATTAAACAACGCTTTGTCTGTTGTATTTGAACATAGACTGGTCTGTTTTGTTTGAGTTT